AAAGATCTCATCCTCTATATAATATGGGTCATGTTTTTCAGAACGAAATATTTTTAAGAATAGAACATTTCTACTGTAATGTAGAAATGGAAAACATACTGGTAGTGCTCAATGCAAGGCTGTAGGTCTCTAAAAATCTATTTCTGAAAAGCAGAGTTTTATAGTGTTCAATATCATAGTAACCAATCCTTTAATAAATTTCATCACGTCTGTTTCGTGTAGAACCCAGTCATTCTGTTAGCCGTTCACCAAAACCTTGTTTCAAGTTTGTAGGTTTACTGAATCCTCACGGCTAGCTCCAAAACATTTCAAACTATGTAGAACATCTGTCGAGTAATATTAAAAAATGAAGTGCGCTGTTGGAGTCTGACGAGATCTCTCTGATCTATTACTAATAACTAAAAATATCCCATTTCCTCTGTCATACTGCAGTATTGGACCATTTCAGAGAATAAACTACGTCTTTCAACTTCTAGCAGACAACAACAATAAAAAATCTGGTAGATACAGTAAGGTTAAACCACCATGTGGTAGGTTTAGTCATCCCAATCATCGGCTTGGTGGCGGAAAGATTACTTCATCCATACGATGTTTTCCGCTAAGAAATCCAAAGGCAACGTTTGAATATCACTTGACTTCCACGTCCTACTCTTGTGCAATAAATATTTACTCACTTTCACGACTTTTGCAGAACTTACAGTTTGTGCAGTTTTTCCTTGATTAAATCCCATACTACCATTTAGTCTCTTGAATAACACATTTACTTAATCTATAACTTCAAGGGGGTGATATTGCTAATTACTTACTCAATTATTTAATACGCCTGTTTCTCCTCATAGAGGAGCATAGATCACCCATCAGCATTCCCCATCCAGATCTGTTCTGGTTAATCCCTCTCAGTCGATTTTAATTACTATTCATTCTTTGCATGTCTGCTTCCAATTTTCGGTGCAGTGTGGTTTTCGTCCTCCTCCTTTCCGTTTCCCTTCAACGTTCCAACTTGGAGTTTGCCTCATGATGTAGTTTGTTGATTTCCTCAATGTATGTCCTATCCACTCCCAACGTTTTTTCCTTATTTCTTCGTCAGCTGGAAGCTGGTTTGTCCTCTCCCACAGTAGGCTGTTGCTGATGGTATCCGGCCGATGGATGTTGAGCAGACAATTGTTTATAAATACTTGTACTTTTTTGATGATGATCATGTTAGTTCTTCAAGTTTCAGCTCCATACAGTAGAACTGTCGTGAAGTTTGTATTGAAGATTGTGACTTTGATTTTGGTTGTCAGTTGTTCTGAGTGTCATATGTCCTTTAATTGTAGGAATGCTGACCTTGCTTTTCCAATCCTCTCCTTTACGTCAAAACCAGATCCTCCACATTCATCGATGATGTTGTGCATATACGTGAACGTTTCCGCCTGTTCCAGAGCTTCCCTATTAAGTGTGATTGGGTTGGTGTTCTTCGTGTTGTATTTGAGGATCTTATTTTCTTCCTTTGCGTATGTTGACGCCTACTGCTGTAGATGCTTCTACTACACTCGTTGTTTTGGCCTGCATTTGTTGGTGGGTATGGGGTAGAAGGGGTGTTTCATCTGAGAAGTCCGAATCACCTAGTTGCATCTAAGCTGTCCATTGTATTCCGTGCTTCCCACCAGATATAGAGGTCTTCGTAATCCCGTCAACCACCGGAAGAAAGAGCAAGGGGGAGAGTAGGCAGTTTTGTCTGACTTCGGTGCTCACTTGGAATGTGTTTGTCAGCTGTTCTCCATGCACGACATTGCATTGTAGTCCGTTGTGTGGATTCCGTATGGTGTTGACGATTTTCTCAGGTACGCCATGTTATCGAAGAATTTTTTATGAGGTCCATCTATCTGCGCTGTCAAATGTTTTCTCATAATCAAGTAAGTTGATGTATAGTGAAGAGTTCCATTCAATTGATTATTCAACAGTTGTATGTACACTACCGATGCTTACGGAATCCAACAATAAGTCGAAATTGGCTGCATCTAGCAACGGAATAATAAGGAAGCCGAAAAGGACGCCTAAGTACGGATCTCTGCATTGAAACAATAAAACCAAATCTGTAGTAGGGTTATTTGGGCCTTACTTACCCAGATTATCACAGATGATAAAATTGGCAAGCAAAATGTTAAAAAAATGAGATAGTGGCAACGTATCCCACTTGAGAGAAAGATCACAATAACTATGACTGTCATTCAAAATCGCTGCCCAATATTTTAATGTAATTTTCGAAGTGGCTGTGTCCACTGTCGCTGTGATACTACAGTACCTATGGAGTGTTGCTTGTTCATGTAAAACCCGTAATCACGGTGTGTGTACTCACATTGTGTAAGAAATAAATGACAGAATTAATGGAGGAGAATCATAATATCCGGTCGGGAGCTGCCATATCAAACGTGATTAGAATATACAAATCATTAAATACAGGCCCAATCAATCTCGGAACTACTGGAGCCATAACCGGAGTTCATACAACAATCGAATAATGTACTGTTGCTAATACCCCAGTAGCGGTAAGAAGCAGTGTGTGAGAGTTAAGAAGGAAGGTTGCGTAAGCACAGCTCTAAAAAGTCAAAACGTTGGGACTAAAACAGCAATAAAACTCCCTGATTTTATTGAATGTCCCGGTGTCGGAGGGTTGCTTACTAGGAAGTAGAGCAGCCTTTTATAAAGAATAATGGAATAAGTACTTAATTACGCTTGGAATGGATACAGTTCCATCCAAAGTGTACAGCATGTATGAGGGATTGAAGGTAGCGAAACGTAAACCTCCAAACTTCTCACATCATGAGACAGTTGTACAACCGGTCGGGACCAAGAAACACCACTCTCAATTATTTTCCTCAATTCCATGAAAGCACTTGGCATGATGTCTCATAAAACACTGATAGCGAATATGAACACTAAACAACACTTATTTTGGCTTCCAAATAACCTAGGGTGCAAGATGTTCTGCACTAACATACACACGGTTAATGGGTTCTGGAAGGAGTCGGTATCAGGTTAATTCCTGCTCCTGAACTTTACTAACGATTTAGATTAAATTAACTCGGAGGCACTAACTATATAGTCTTATGGTCCTTGTATAAAATGTCAAATGCTATTAATAGTGCTGAGGATTCCAGTACCCATTGTCTTTTCCTCTCTGTAAGTACTGGTCCATTCACAGTTATTGGGGTACTTTTTGACAGATCCAGAGGTTTCTATGACACTAAGTGCATGCGTTACTTTTAATTATTCTAGTATGCAATTAGTTGGGACTCAATAGATTAAGCTATCACAGTATATAAAAAATTCTGGGTTTTCAAATATTTCTTAAAATTAGATGCCCGACACTCTTATTCTAATTAATGAATGATAAAGAAGATACAAAATCACTTATCTGAGAACGTTCATGTGGTGAATAATCACTACATTTACTGTACAATTAAATAACTTATGCTGTGTTTAAACCGATCATAATAGCACAATGCAACTCCATACTGCGCACTTCTAATATGAGTTCTTGATTGTTTCTTGTAGGAGTTCTAGACTTAGTGTGATTAGCACTACTTTGTTATATTGTTTCACATTCATATGCTACCAGTATTATTCGATTATATTAGGAAAAAATTGATAAGTCGATGATTCTCTGAAATACAACACAAACAAACTTCACAGAGATTTGTAGAGATACACTGATGCAGACTGGATCACGATTAACCCAGTTACACAATTCACTATCACCATTTGAGAACCAGATCGCAGACTAGATAATAGCTTACTGAACACAGAAACTGATAGACCATACAGAGTCGAGTCATGATAAAATTAAAATAGAAATTAATAATGTAAAAGGATTATTGGGATTAAACAGGGCCACATCACATAACTTTACCAATTGTCTGTTTGTATTCGTTTACAGGCCACACATTAAAACCATAGCGGATTGACAGATTAATTAAAACATCCACTTCTTTTCTATGATAACAAATATATGTTAGATACTGCGACGAATAGAAACAATTAACTTCTCGTACAGCAAGCTGGGCAGCCCAATATTTCAATCAGTAACACACTGACTAATACAGCTAAAACAGAAATTTGCCAAACAAGTGTTGTACTGAGCAGTTCCCTGAATTGGGATGTACGGTCAATTTATGTCTTGATAATCAGATACAACGAAGCTACAAAAGTATTTGTCACAGTAATAGGCACTTCCAATAAACTGAAAACATACTTCATCCCAACAACTAATCCTCAAGTCAATCATTTCTACATAGTTCAGCCAGTATGAAAATCGTCATAATCAAAGTCCAAGAAAAGTAAAATCGATACCAGCCAAGGAGTACTGAAGTAATTATGCAAAATCGTTTAAGCATAGTCGTAATTAAGTTTCAGCATTGAACTTGTCGTGTATTGAAGATATATGATATGCGAAAAATAGACGGTTGGAAAACTAGTTCATGAATCATTCATTGGGAAAAATTTATCTCACCCAATCGATATACGTCTTAAGTAAAGATCCACCGTAACGATCTACACTGGTACCATTCATAGCTCAACCCATTGTATAGACAAAAATGATCTACTATCCACTACTTTTTATCATATAAATCCTATCAACTGACCATCACAAGAAGCACTTATGACTCAACAAATAAAGTACAGATATCGTGACATCTCATCAAACTCTGTATTTCCTTTTCAATTAGTTCAACGAAGCTGTGGAAACTGAAACATGTTTATCGTCCGAATTGCTAATATTTGGACTTGTTCTTTCCTTACTATATGTCTATAAGAAATACATATAGGAATTCTCCACGTTTTCATGCAGATGATATTGAATTTCCTAACCACTATTCATATACATACAAAAAGCCTTTTATCCATAAAATAGCTATGTCCCTGATCCTGCTGCCAAATACTTGAAATCGAAAACCACGGAAGTTCTTACAACGCAAAGTCAAGACACAGAAGATGGATACAAATGAAGATTTATTATTCCTCCAAAAAGTACCCCATATAACCAAAATATTTATTCATCTATACATTGATTTGCGCACCTACTCGATAATTAATTATTAAATATCACATGCATGAAAAGTGCATAGAATTATTACAAAAACACATACTGAGTGCGATGCTGAGCAGAGTTCAAATTAATTTAATACAAAAATACCATACTGAATAAACACCACATTGAAAATAAAATCAATGTTATGGCAAGAAAACCACTACTCTTTAAATAAAACGAGTACCCTTATCAAGCAGTCATCACAGTGGATAAAAAATAGGCATGATATTGAACAGCAATCACACTGAATGAAAAAAAAGTATGTGACTTTGTTTTTCTATTACGAAAGCTAACTAAAGGCTTATCTTTCTTCCCACTCTTATTATCCGATTTTGACAGTCATGTGGACGTTTTTTTGGCAAATAAGATGCAGTACAAGCAAGTTTCTATGTATGGCCTTTCATTACATTTTTCTACACAAAATCTTCCACCGACTTTGCAGCGGTTTCGATTTGTATAATTTACTTGAAGAAACCAACAGCAGCGTTATGTCTACGGACAGAACCCTGTATTTTCTAATACGATTCGCCTAGAACATACCCCTCATCTGTTTGTGTCTGTATCAAGCTGTAACATTTGAGTATCATTGTAATTCGATCAAAGATCTGGTGACCTGTTCAAGTACATTTTCTTATGATATTTCTAACGATGATAAATCACAAAATACGGTTTAGATAAGGATGTGTATGTACTTATTATGTACGTGTCTATCTACCTTCTTGTATTATAAACATTGCTTATATAATCTGAGTTAGGTCTAACTTTTAGTGCGTATTCAAATGAAACGTTTTATCTATACCTATATCGTTTGTCTACTGTTTAAATTTACGTTTGAAATTTACGTATACGAAGCGCTACTCCTACTCCATTTCTTATTTCCCGTTTTCATAAGTTTGTATACTAAGTTAATAAGAATCTATATTTTATTAGCATTATCATTAAACGGAATCAAGCAGCACCTATGAGTTCATCAATGTTTACCCTCAAAAACATCTTCACAACTAAAATAGTACAAGCTGTTCCAACAGTTAATTTCAACATTTAAATGAGTTATTGAGAGCAGATTTAAATATGACATTGAACAATTGAACCATGATGAAAATGTTAAAGTAACAAAATAGGATATATTCGAATGTAAATTAAATATGTAAGAATAAGTTTATATTCAGTCCAACTATGACTAATTATGAATATTTTTGGTTGGGATATAAGAAAATCCAGAAAATGTTTCATCTATACCATGAAGATTTCGTGATCGCATTACAGAACATATAACGGAATCTGAAATTTCATAACGAACATTATTATTGATAATGTTATTAAAATAGTTAAGTTTATTTAAGTTTTCCACTTAATAAGTGATCACATGGCAGATGTCAAATATACAATAAAGAACCTTCATTAGAGAAATTATATTACTGAAAGGAACAATTTTGCGTTTCATTATCTTCTTTTCATGAATTAAACAGTCAAACTGAATAGAAGTGATTATTGATTATTTTATAGTATTCATTTTTATGCTTGGTAAATTTACAGCTAGTTGGTCACTGATTATTGAACAATTTTAAATTTGTCTAGTCCGTTTAGCACTGATCGAATCACATAGATCAGATTGCAATGTGGCCACTAGTCTTAGGGATATGTTATTGTGTGCACTATGTTGAGAGACAAGGTGTTTGAGAGTAGTCAGTAAGGAACCATGGACCTTGAGTGGATTGATGCTCCATTTGTTATTCGAATAGCTCAATGGTAGCATCTCAAAGTATGAAGCCTCGTAACGCTAATTCAAGGCCACCAGGAAGTATCAATTTCCTCAAAGCTGTAAGTAAGCCTCACTGATGAGCACCCACTAGTACTCAATCCAGGTACGAAGTTTCTCGCCGACTACCTTCAGCTGTTAAACGTTGTTGACTATTTATTTATCACTCAATCATAGCTACACTATTTTAGTTGAACATGTTGTAATATAAAAGACAACTTAAGTTTCTTGGTACAAAATCATTTATTGAATCAACTCATCGGGGGTTATCTCAATTCTGAATTCTAACTGGTTGAGACTTAGTGATTGACAAATTATATCAAAAGAACAATATTTTCAATGATGCTTAAAAAATAAGAATAAAGAAACCTTTGGAGAATGAATAAACTAGATGAATGGACGTACAATGAACTCAAAGTAAGTTAAACAATAAATACAACTGAGATTCTACTATCAATTCTCAATTCACATGCTATCATCTTTAGTGCAAAAAATAAATGGAAACTTGATTATACTAATCTACAATATCTGTAATCAGTTTCCAGGCATGGTATCTAAAGTCTCCAACTACATGTACTGAGCAAAGTAGGAATGGATTTAAAAAGGCTAAAATACACGATTAAAAAAATAATATCAACAACCCAAAGAAAATGACCAATGTTAATTTGATCTATGTAAAGAGGAATAGGTTTTTGAATTGAAAACTATAAGGCATCTAAAGTTAACAGGAAGATCCACTTATATTGATCGATTCGAGATGTAACAGTATGTGAATGTTAAAAATTAATCCTACATCTTCAATTATTTCTATTTGTTCACTTACAACTAACTGACTTATATTTCACCTCAGAATGAATTAGCATTAGTTAAGCTTTCTTCATACAAAAAGGCACTAAATTATACTTATACGAGTTGAAATCAAACGTATAAAAATTTCACTCACTTGGTACAGCGGAATTGACAAATTCCGGTGAAATGTTTCGTGTATCGGTTGATGAGGTTACCGATGGCAGAAATGGTGCAGTTAATTTGCGCTCTAGTAGTTTTATCCAATCAATATCTTTGAAAAATCGATGCTTACTAATTTCTTCAAAATCATTTTCACTTCCAAGTCGATTAATTTTATCTTTTTGAAGTAACTGTGTGTTAGACCAAAAATCGTAGTTGGAAATTATTTATTTTCCAAACAAAAAATAAGTCAGTCAGTAACAGCGTAGAAATTCGTACGTACGTACATCAGTTCGAGTTGCCACACCACCTTAGCACAGAGATGCAGTTGTCGATTCAAATCCCGTAGTGGTAGAGGTAACAAGAGTATAAGCAGTAATCGGGAAGATTAGGGTTTGGAGATGTTATTTACAGAGTATAATCCAGTGAAATAAATTTGGGAAGAGGAAAAAAGGGACATGAAGAATTCAGAACAATTGTATTAAATCATGCAATGTAAAAACAACTACAAGTTTATCAGTAAAGCTATAATACTACAAAACAAAGTTATACATAGTTATTTGGTTTAAGGTAATCAGAACGAAACAACGAATATGGGTTTCATCCCACTTGGGATTTGTCAGTACAATGTATCATCAGTCTTGCAGGAACTGAGATTCACTGATAAGTTCGAACCTCTGTCAGATAACTTCACAGTCTGAGATCTTATCACTGAGCTATTGAGAAAGTGACGTATCTCCTGTTAGACTAAGATATTTACAAATGATTATTCACTGAGTAGTGACTAATTTTAGGTTTGTCTAGTCCGTTGATGTTGACTGAATTCCACCAATCATATCATGATGTGGCCCATTGGTTTGAGTGATTCAAAATCGTCTGCACGGTGTTTGGGATGTTAGCTAGTTATACATTCATCTGCCAATCATAATTATCATCACATAAAGTACTCTATTTTAGCACCATGAACCGAACAAAATTTTATATGGCTTTGAGTTCCGTATGTTTCTGAACAATTTATCATTCCTTTCATAGATTTTAGTTAAAATTTAGTTTATGCAAAGACCGATATTAACAATTTATAACATATAACTTTAAATATTCTGTTAACAAAAATTGATTATTTCACTGACTAAAATGATGCATCCATCTAGAATACCAACTAGTAGAATCGAGATGTTTAGTATTGTATTTTGCCCGTTTCTGTGTAGTGACTATTCTTAAGTAATGTAACCCGTTTATGAAGTATATACTCTTGTTTTCAGTTGAATGTTTAGTCATTTAACCACTAAGCTTCTATACTCTATAGTGATTTAGAAAGCTGAACACGAAAGCTTTTAAGCGCCAAGGTCTATAGTATCTTATTAGTAAACAACGGAAGAGAAGACTGAGAAATAACCATCTCATCTGCTGTAAGTATACTGAGAACTAATCACATATATTAGTTTGACTGATAGTATTTGAAATGGTCTACAGTTGAAATGTGAGCACATCTTACACAAACATCATATCACATTACAGGTACGCACAAATCCCTGTGATTTTTATACTTAAAGACGGAAGAATTAGGAGGACTTTTAAATTTTATAGTGTCTAAACACTGCCGTTTTTTCAACATATCAGTGAAAACAAACATGGGTCCACTAACTAACTAACTTCAATAGCTGGGTTCCATTAAGCAAAAGAGGAATCTTATTCACTCTATGTTACCGAATACGTAGGATCTGTGGCACTGAATGCGTTGACGAAGAACTTGCGTTCCTCATGAAAACATTGGTTGACAAAAGCTATCCAGACCACTTCGTAGGGAACAACATGAAAGAATATCTGAACAAGAAATCCAAAGGTTCTTTTTTAAAGAAATATCTTCATATGAATCTGTTGTACTTAAGAAGCAGCTGTCAAAAGCCATAAAAAGAATCTCCTATGCCGTAAAGCCGAGACTAACATTCACGGGTGGAAATTTATTTTTGGTATCCGTAAAGAATAAGCTCCCTCGTCTGATTGCCCCTATGTGTATTTACTAATTCACCTGTTCTTGTGGAGTAATGTTCACAAACAGTAGTCAATGCAGGTTTTGAACTCATATACGAGAACATGTTATAGCAAGGTTCTACAAGAGTGAGAGGTAAGCAGTTAAGACTTCTCCATTACAATCACTCTATCGATCCAAAGGTTGATGCTTAGGTTGGTTATCCATTCAAATTCTTCAATATTTCTTCTTATTCAACACCTTAAAAAAGCAGAAGCTTCTCCAGTTTATAAAATGAAGCTACAACTGTAAGTACGAAAGAAGTACGTCATTTTTCTCTTTACTATCACCATAAAATATTATTATTTGATTTTACTTAGTATTTGAAAATATCCTCATCTCCCTTTAATTATTCCTCATTCAAGATTCACTGGATCGAACACACGACGACTCTATGGCTTACCCAAAGTCCACAAGACTAGACTTCCTCTTCACCCAGTTTTAGATATGTGTAATTCGCCATATCATAAAACTGCGAAGTGGTTAGTTTGAATGCTAGATCCTTACAAAAACTGGTCGTCAACAGAAGCGTTAAAGACACTTTCGATTTCATTTCTAAGGTTGAACATAAGAACTTATATTAAAAACGATTATATCTCTAAACGTTGCTTCCTTGCTTACAAATGTACCATTAACTGAGACTATTGACTTTGTGTTCCAACAACTACTTGAAAAACATATCAATATTTGAATCCTCGAGGTTAGCCTCAAAAAATTACTTCTGAAATGCATAATGAATGTCCATTTTGTCTTTAATAACACATATCACAGACAAATTGATGGATTAGCGATGGGTTTACCGCTAGGTCCCATACTTTGTGTTTTTTTTCTTGCGAAACTAGAAAACGGACCTCTCAATTAGGTTAGCAATAAGCTTAAATGCTATTGTCGTTACACTGATGATACTTTGATTATCATCGATCAGAACTTTTAGAGCTATTTAACAATAAGCATTCAGCAATCAAAGTTACGAGTGAAGAGGAACTTGATAATAAACTACATTTGCTTGACATTTTGTTAAACAGAAAAGAAGTGATTCATTTAGTATGTATGTAGGAAAAGTTCCTTAGCAAGCCAGTACAAACATTTCTTGAGTTTTGTACCCTTTTATTATAAGAGAAACTTAGACAAATGTCTTGCAAATAGAGCAAGGAAGATATGCTCAGTCGATACTTTAAACATAATATGTTGATTGAAATGGATTATCCAAAAGGTTTCCTGAAGAAGCATTTGCATGCAACAAACAGGAAAATAGAGACATTAACGACTGGTAAGAAACCTCTCTTCCTGAAGCGGCAATCCAACGTAGATATAGCTTTTGATAATGCAATGAGAAGACGAAGTTATATAGCTGCTGATGTGTTGCGAGGATAGACTGACTAGAGTAGTTAAAAGAAAGTTTAATGCAGCTAACCTATGTGATTCCTCAACTAAAGGATAATTTAATTTGTTCTGCCACATCTATGTGCATCTATGAATTCATCTGCTCCTATAGAGAAAGCTATATTGGGTGGCCTACCAGACAACTGAGCCAAAGAGTTAGTGAAGACCTCCCTTCGTGATTAAGGAGGGGTACCGTTAAAACAATACTTAGCTCCGTTCTATCACACTTGATGGATAGCGGTTATGTATTAGACAGAATTAGATCATTTAAAGTTATTTATCGTATTCCTACTAGTTTTCCTTATGGGGTTCAGTTCGCCTCTTACACATAGCAAAAGCTATAGGAATCCGAGCTAGCAATCCAAGTCTCTATGTTCATAAAAAATTTGTAACTCCTTTATCCCGACAAGAATCATGAGTATAACTATGTGAATCTATTAATTGACTAATACTATACATATATTCTTATTGTATAAGTTGATAAAGCGATGGCGTTTGAAGTGAATGGTACTGGGTTCGAGTCCCAGAGTGAACATCAATTCTGAGATACAGGTACATCCAGCTGACGAGTCTCAAATAGGACGAAATGCGCGTCCTGGATTCCCCTGCTAGCTACTATCCATCTTTGCTTGTGATTTTATTTGTTATTATTTTCCATACTCTTTGGTCGTTTATTTTTCTTCAACCTCTCTCAATTTTTTTTCTCATATACACGCTTCACTGTCCAATTATTTAAACACTTTTAATTATGTTATCTTATAATTTTATGAATGTTACTTCAGTGTCTATATTTTTCTAATCATTGGCCTATTTCCCATTATAAAACATGGATTCAAGCCTTTATTATTCTTATCACAACTAGTACAATTATCATCACACTACCAATTTATATCTTTCATTTATTTATGTAATCTTTTCCACTGTTATCATTGGTTCAATTATTTCGTATATGCACATAAATATTACTGTATATTAGAGTAAAGCCTGATGAGGATCCAATCGAAATATATATATATATATATATATATATATATATATATATGTTGTTCTAAATCACAATATGGGAATTTTTCAAACTATTCTTTATATCAACAGTTGAGATTACGAGTCAATTGAAGCTAGACCACCATGAAAAACCTGAAAGCACTGGACGGTCCCTTCTGATACTTATCAACGTATGCTCACTAGTGACTGGCTTCAAGAGGTATATCCTGGAGTTTTAGTGAGAAGCAGTGACCAGTGGAGTTCAGCCGGGTCAGTTGTGAGATAGAAACTGTCTGATGACAATGGTGGATGTGTCGCTCAATTTTCAGGATTAGTTGAGGCTAGATATTAACACCGTTGAATGCCAGCTCAGTGGTCTAGTCTTTTTTAAGCGCCTGGCGCGAGACTAGTAGGTCCTGGGTTCGAGTCCCGCGTGTCGGGGTCGTGGATGCGCATTGCTGAGAACTCCCACAATAGGACGAAACGGCCGCCGAGTGCTTCCAGGTTTTATGGTGGTCTAGCTTCAATTGACTCATGATCTCAACTGCTGAAATTACTACAATCTTCAAAAAATCCCTACTGATACTATTCCTTATATCCTCATGATTTTATTCGTGATTATTTTTCATATCACTTCATTTCATTCAACCTTTCTATTACATTCAATTATCGTAGCATAAAATATTTTAATTATCTTACCCCATTCACATCTTTATCCACTATTAACTTATTAACTTTACAAGTCTGTTTATTTCCACACAAAGTCTTTTATTGAGATTATGTACACTACATAATCTAAAATTATAACCTTTCTATTACACCGTCATTATTCACAGTTTTAATACTTAGAATTATATATATATATATATATATATAATTTTTTGCTCCGTCTGTAGCCTTTATATGATTACTGCCGTGGTGTATGCTACTCATGTCGACATAAGCAGCATATAACGCTAGTCAGGATTAGAATTTCTGGCAGCAGAAGGTCGAGAAGATCGAGGGAGAAAGAATGGAAACGGAGAGCAATTGGTGTAGAGATGAAGGAACAATGAAGTCTGAGACAGTTTTGCAAATGAAGTATTTACTGTATAGTTCTTAGATTTTACTAAGACACTGTGTAATTTTGTATTAAAATAGATTAGATAGTCCCCACTTGGCATCTCGTTCGCTACACTCCTAGACCAAAGCCCGAATAAAGAAGGAGGGTTAAACATGGGGTTAGCAACCCTATTCTGTAGAAAAGAACACTGCTAAAAAAACCCAACCAGTAAAAAGTAATTTTAACCATTTAGACTGTGCACTGGGAGCTGTAGGGTCTTCATCCAGAAGAGTTATGGCATCTCATAGTGAAACCCGAAACTCTTCGGCATTCACGAGGCCGATTACCCTTCTGACAGCCAGAACAACAATTAACATAAATGCATAGGATGCTTAGACAATGTAGGGAACAGGAAGTACGATTCAAATAGTGTCACAAAAAACAGTTATCGTTTCTATGTCACCATAAAATAAAATAATCGTTATAACGTCAGTTATCCGTGCAAAATTTCTATTTCGAGCTATTCACGTTGATTGTAAGTGAACTACTAGAATGATCAACAAATCAGTGGATATCAGCAGAGTACACACATTTACACACTGTCTCCACAATATGTACAGCTGCAGAAAAGATTTAAGGCAAAGTGATATTATTTTTATATTTTTAGGGATAAAAAAGTGTTTCCTTGCATAATAACTTCCTTGAAAGTAATTAACCACCATAAAATTTAATGTGTAATTTTGAATTATCATCTAGTTCAAAAGTACCTGTAGTGTTTGCACGAAATGATAATTTATCTTGAAATAATCGAGGTGTTTATTCTAGATATAGTACATCACGTTCACGTTCATTCATAGTGTTCGCTTTTCTTTGTGCGGTTTATTCAATCGTAGTTACTAGAGTACGTCTCAGACAGAACTGGGAATTTCTGTTACGCAATCTACAATACATATTATTGCATATTTTGGTAACCGCTACTTATATCCCACCATAAAGTAAGAAATAAATTTCGTATTTTCAGTATAAAAGATTTGTGAATATCGTTAAATGTTAACAAGATCACGAAATGACCTAAGATGAACAATCATTGAAAGCCGTTAGGCAATAGACAGCTGTTTCGCCTCAGTACAGAACTCAGCGATGTTAAGCCACGACCCCACGACTGGGATCCAAGTATATCGGGTGCGAGGAAGGAACTAACCAAATCCAATATCGTGTATCAACTAATGTTACACATATTAACTACTGAATGCCAACCTAGTGGTTTAAACGGTATGGGCACTCTGTGAGACCTTAAAGTCTTGAGTTCAATCCGCGTTAGTGTCGTGGATGTACACTATTGATTAATCCCATACAGAAACTAAACAATTGTCTAGTGTCTCCTGTTTCCCAATAATTAGTGATCTGAATAACATTTCGACTTTTTTTAGATTAAACAAGGGATAACTTGCAATTTAAATATGTGCAAATTTGAAGTTTGAAAAATTACGTATTATTATTATTTAATAATAATAATGCAGCAACAAGTAGGAAAATTTAAAAAAGTAAACTTACACGAAATAAAATATTTTCAGTTGATGAACTAAGTGTATTACGTGTTCTTAAAGGTCTTTCCAATATATATCGGTACATATGTGCACGATTTTCTGAATAGAACGGAGGTAGACCATGTAACATTTCATAAATAACACACCCTAAACACCACCAATCAACTGCAAAATCATATGGCTGTTTACGCAAAATTTCTGGTGCCAAGTACTATTTTAAAAATGTAACAATGGAATGGAGAGAATTACTTCAACATATATGCAGCAGTTATATCTTAAAGAAAACAAACTTTGTGGACGAAACGAAGATGACGGTTTTCAATTATAGTGAGAAAAAAATCATTTAAAAAGTTAAATGACCTTTTACTAGGTTTGGGATATGTTAAGTGTATGAGGATTGTAAATGTTCAAAAAATGGGTAACAGACAAACAGACGGATAGACAGAAAGACAAACAGAGAAATAGATCTTAATTTTCTACTTTCTCTTTCATTCTTTTCTTGCTTCCCTTCTATCTTCTCCATGGAACTTTTACCCCAAGTGATTTCTTTGTTTTTATGATCCTCCTGATTACATTTCATCTCACTTTCAACATGTTTTTATCACATTGAAACTTCCCTTCCCAATTAGAATTTTCTTACCTATCTTCGTTCAGATAATGGTGTTTTAACAAAATTATTACTAGTTCCCTTGATAAGAAGAACTTTTTATTATCACCATCATAATAATAATTATTATTTTGAAAAATAAATATATATTCACTAGTGTACAGCTTTAAAAAGGAATTCGGCGAGGAGGGAACTCTTTAATGAACCAAGATATAACCAATAGTGACATCTATGTTAAGTGGATGCGGGTGATCGGCGGAAAACCCCGGTTCGAATACACCTCTAAGATTCCAGATATACCTTTCAGGCCAGCCCCAGCTGGCCTGAAACCTGGGTTCATAGTTCCCTTCAAAGACAAGGTTGTGTGGCGACTACCCTCAACCCTTTAAGTTTAAGTCAAGTCACTTAGATTAACCGATACATTGCAACTTTATCGCTAGAATTTGATCAGCGCTAAGGAACAAAAAACAATAAATTGGTCACTAATCAGTGCTTAATTTGTTTAAGTAATATCTGTTTCGGGGAACAAAAGAATTTAAATGACTTAATTAGACTAGATATTATTTTGTTGAGGGTTTGGTGAAGTGGTGGTCCAAAAAACATTAGTATTTATACGCATAGTACAACATGTAATTTAAATTAAAGCGAGAAACCATAACCAAAAATACAAATTAATATTAAACCATGGCTACGAAACAAAACCACTCTTAAAAATACAATCGGATGGTGAGATATTCTAGATGTTAGCCGGACATAGACTGGATTAAAGCATGCTCAATGCACGATTGCTTTGGTGCACGCTGATTGACTAATTCTATCCAATCAGCGTCAATCAATACTTAGTGAACACTCGAGAAATCTTCTCATGTGAAAAAACTATAAATATACTAACGCTTTCCCTATTGCGCTTGCTTGCTTCTTACTTCCATCTAACTTTGTTACTTGGAATATAATCTCTTTCCTGTCCAACGGTGTTCTGATTTGGGGACTTGTCGAGTGATTTGGTATCCAAGATTACTAAGCAATAGGAATAGCTGGGTTATAACCGTAAGAAATAAATTATAACAATAGAGTAGGTCAAATCGCCATCAAAATAGAAATACACACATAAATACGTGACATTTGGATATAATGAAAGAGAGGAATACTACGCATCAGAACCAGACAATCATACCAATACAAATAACTAACAGTCTCATATAAAGTATAGTGAAACTACAGTTCTAATAAATGAAACTAAACTAAATACAAATGAATGAGATACGACTACTTTGTTCCAATAAACCTATTACATTTACCACGTAGGCGTTTTGGTACTACTCAGTAGTATAACACAAACCGCAGAAAGCTGGAAGAACCCCAAACTATGAATGTGGAACTCTTGTTTCTTTTCATGATATGTTGTCAGTTGAAATATTGAGTTTGAAGTATTTGTAGTTATTTGCCTTGTATTTTGTTTTATCTCACTTAGTCATGTACTTTCAAATAAATTCTGACTTCATCTCACCGAGAAAACGTAACTTTGATGGTTAAGTTTATCTACCAGGTAGAGAGCTCAGTACGTTTTGCGAGAACTGGGAAATTCTAGTTAACATCAAGATGGACGTGACTAATTCGAATTATTAACCTCTTGAGTTGCTCTATTGCTTATTATTCAGCATAATTTGAAAATAAGGTTTCTTCCAAAATATGAACAAACACATATAAACTAGTTTACCATACTATTTGGAACATGTTATAACGGTGTATCCGTTCAAATAAAAACAAATCTCAACAAGCAAGTAAGTGGGAGCTCTAGAAATTAACGGAAATACATATGAAGGACATGAGAAGATAAATTTAAGTACAGAGAAGCCAAACAACCATAGTTCCTGTAATTTACGTCCATTGTCGATGTAGTAAAATCGTTGTGACCTAGATTTATGAACCTACGATATTTGAACACTAATGATTTTTTCATAAAGTTATCTTAGTTTGAATTACCCCTACTCTGCTGACCGAAATGGATAAAGCGAAATTCTCATCAGCTAATTAATATTTGAAAAGCGAATTATTCGACTTTCAACTTCACGTTCTATTAATAAATAAAATCTTAAAAAATTTTAGTTTATGTATATAAACTTACCTCAGGAGTGCCACAAAATGTTAGCGTAGTAGACTGACTGGCAGAATTTTGTTTACATAACCCAAAATCTGTAAGGATTGCATATCCCTTAAATATGAAATTTTATAAAATGATTATTCATTAGATAAAATCAAACTAGGAAGTTAATGATAAAAAGGGTTGTTAGTTTTCAATGAAGTATGGATTTTGAGCATAGAAAAACATGATTTAACGTCGACTAATACAAGAAGAGGTTAGTAGATGGTAATTCAATTGATTGTTAAGTTTCGTATGTTAGTTAAACGGGAAAATAATATTTAAAACCATAAATATCAAATTATGTATAGGCTATAAGGGATGAACTTGCATTCTTTAACAGCGAAGTAATTTGGCTTACATAAGTTCTAATCTCATTATAGATTTTAAATTCCTTAAACTTCAGAATTTGTTGATGATAAACTTAAAGATCAAGGTACATCTATATATGGGTTTCTTATGTTAAATTTCTTTTAAGTTTAAATCTTCTAGTCAAAACTGGTCTAAATCATTCCTAATCCTTAATATATGAAATGAAACATCTGATCCTCTTAAGCAATTTTATTATTTCGGATGTTTTTCTTAAGATTGACAAGATCATTAACCTACCAATTGATGATTATACTGTAATGAACGAAAACTCAGGTGCGGAAAACCAATCTACTGTTTAAGGCAAAATTACACAACGGCTTTGTAAAATATGAAAATCATGCATTAGATACATCATTTGTGCATCCTCATTGAGTTTTTCCGTATATATTTTATTATTTCTCTAATTCTGTTGTTATTTTTATTCCTATCCGATTTCCTTTCTGTTATCTTCAATTGAATTTTCTGCTACCAGACATTCCACTTCCGATAGAGGCTACATACTACTTATATCTGTCAGTGTAGGTAGCATACATCACAATACTATTCACTAGTTTGCTTTATATCACTCTACGACAGTGAAATATGGTTTAAAAGTTAAGGGACAAAAGTATGTTGTTGGTGGTTGATCATAGATTTATTAAAATCATTGTCGGTGTGTTTGAACCGTCATTGAGTAGTGGTAAGGTTGGGTTTAAGGAATTAATTAATGATAGTAAATTTGTTAACAATGTTGTAATCCTTTTTCGATTGAAATGCTTCAAAAGAGTATTACATACCCCAACTCATCATCTACGTTGAAGCCGTATCCTGATCAGCAAACGGATAAAGTATTAATATCTATTAACTCAGCCTACATCTTTTAAGAAAATCTTGAGACTCTTTCAACTGTCAACTCCTAATGTTACAGAGAATCATAACCTCTGTGTGTAAAGTAGAACAGTTAAAATGACGAACAACATAACTAATGAATCTTTATTTCAAAATCGAATACTTTTACAAAAAACTAATGTTTGTGTAGAAGAATTGTGAAATCTGTTGAATTTTCTAGTTTAAAACCTCGAAAAGCCAATATTTTTACAACCACTTCAAACTAGGAAGCAATAGACATCTGTTTCAACCTCATGTGGAACTTTCCCCAGAGAGCATCCGCGAACTCACTAAGGATGGGACCCAGTAATTCCAGGCCTCAGCCCGATAGAATCAACCGAAGTTAGAGGTGCAAATCGTTAGATACCAAATTAGTGATCAGAAAGTCATGGGTTTGATCCTCAGTGAAGTTATTGATGAGTACTGATATTGAGTCCCAAATTAGGATGACACAACGATCCGTTAATAGCTGATGGTTAATTTTTATCTTGTTCTGTAAAACTTTATGATCAATTTTGTACGCAATTGGATTGAATTTAAAAAAATACAATAATTTGTATAAACAAACACTGAAGTATAAAGCGGTGATTGCGATGATGTTCATACAAGTCGAGAAATACCCGAGTCATAACATTTTATTTAGATAATTATGTCTTAGCTATATTTGCATAAATCAATCTGTATAATTATCTACCAGTTGAGCTAATAATAAAACAAACGGTTGATATGCAGCTGGAAAGAATATCATGAGAAGTGGTCGGCAAAAGAACTTTTAAAATGACTATGTTAACAAGAAGGGAGTGAAATATTCATTTAAGAAAGCTGGGAGACACACGAATTCTACTTACCTTACTATCAAGAAGTATATTTTCAGGTTTTAAATCACTTTTAAATAAGCAAAAAAGTGTAAAATAGTTTTCTTTGATATAACTCAATAAAAAAACAATAATGTTTATCAATGAAGTCATACATTTATCAAATGAGTATAGTTCTTATGCACAGTTAGATAAGAGAATATTGACATAGTAACCAACATTTTTCTTCCTATTGATCAACAATATTAAACACAATGGATATAAGCAAATGTTAGTCACCAGAAAGACCTCATGCTGATGGTTGGTTTTTGTTGTTTAAACAAAAGTGAGGTTATCCAACCCTTTTTTCAATGTTCAATAAGTATGTGGTACAAATTCAAGTTGTCAAAAAGTACCCAGAACTTTAGGGAATTTTTTTGCTCATTTCGTGATTAGGTGTTGGAAATTTCATTTCAAGCTTTAAACTGTGTTCATCATCCTAGCATTTCGGTATGTGCTACACGGATGTGTTCATAACAGACAGATGAGGAGAACCTTAGACAGTTGAAATGAAATTCCTAATGAACTTTGTACTCTTATATGTGGCTCTTACCGACCAAATCAACGGGGAAATGCCCGAGAATGCTTGATACTATACATTAATTGCGCGTTGAAAGTGGGTGAATAACCTCAAACTCCTTCAACCTTGTTCCTATTTTGTAATTAATCTGTTTATACCATCAATCACAGAGTAGTGGTAAACAACCCTTTAGTTTATATTATTTTTTGATTGAACAATAATACGTAGTTAAGATATTGATTACAATTTTAAAGCAGTTCACTCAGTTTCGATCACAATAAAATATTATCAAAAACATTAACACGGGATTTATAAATTACATCATGGATTGACTTGAGTTTGACAACTGCTGAAAACCAATTACAACTAGATAACTGTTTTGCTTTAGTATAGAACTCTTTAGTCCTGTGCATCTACAGCCCTATCGGGGGGTGGATCGAGGATATGGAGTTTAATTGGTTATTTATTATGTTAATAGATAAATGACCAAAAGAAACCACTTGAAATCTTTGAAAATACCAAAATTAATGTTGAAAATTAACTTAAAACAAATCATAAAACTCCTTATTTATCTTTCAACTGTTAATAAAGCTTAACTATGGGAGACGCAGTAATTCTGGCTAATTCGATTTTTTCCACAGTATTGCTCTACGTAAAGAAATACTAGGATGTGGAAAGATTTTGAGGGCCAACTTTTACATCATGTTGTGATATATTCCAGTAGTGTATCTTCCAAAAGTATTAAATGGGACTTATGACAAATAAACTCCACCTGTAGCTCTTCTAGAGTTACTACCGATCACAAGCCCAGGTAAAGAAGGAGGGTTGAGCGTGGGATGAAACTAAAGCTAAAGAAACACTGGACAATTGGGGAAACAGCATTGCAAAGGTTCAATACAGCCTTCCTACGAGATACTAACAAACTCAACAGACTCAAGACAAATCTCAACAACAGGTTCCGAGACTTACAGGATCTACTAGAAGAAGAAGACAATACTATGGAGGACAACTGGAAAAGGATCAAAGAAGCACTAATCTCAATGTGTCAGGAGGTTTTGGGTAGCAAGAAGCATCATCATAAGGAATAAATATTTATCGAAACCCTGGGCAGGATTCAAGAAAGGAAGAAAAAGAAGACAGCGATTAACAACAGCTGAACACGAGCAGAGAAAGTCACAACACAAGCTGAATACACAGAAACAAACAAGCAAGTTATGAGAAGCATGAGAGCCGACAAGCAGAAATACGTGGAAGATCTAGTGGCGACAGTGGAAAAAGCTGCAAGATAGGTAAATATGAAACAACTATATGACACAACAAAGAAACTAGCAAAAGAATATAGTAAACCAGAGAAACCAGTCAAAGACAAAAGCAAGACAATCACTAAGATTCAAGAGCAGAGGGAAAGATCGACAGAACACTTCGAGGAACTCTTGAATAGGCCAGCCCCACTGAACCCATCGGACATCGAAGACTACAGAAGTAGGCGTCAACATACGCAAAGGAAGAAAATAAGATCCTCAAATACAACACGAAGAACACCAACCCAATCACACTTAATAGGGAAGCTCTGGAACAGGCGGAAACGTTCACGTATATGCACAACATCATCGATGAATGTGGAGGATCTGGTTTTGACGTAAAGGAGAGGATTGGAAAAGCAAGGTCAGCATTCCTACAATTAAAGGACATATGACACTCAGAACAACTGACAACCAAAATCGAAGTCACAATCTTCAATACAAACTTCACGACAGTTCTACTGTATGGAGCTGAAACTTGAAGAACTAACATGATCATCATCAAAAAAGTACAAGTATTTATAAACAATTGTCTGCTCAACATCCATCGGCCGGATACCATCAGCAACAGCCTACTGTGGGAGAGGACAAACCAGCTTCCAGCTGACGAAGAAATAAGGAAAAAACGTTGGGAGTGGATAGGACATACATTGAGGAAATCAACAAACTACATCATGAGGCAAACTCCAAGTTGGAACGTTGAAGGGAAACGGAAAGGAGGAGGACGAAAACCACACTGCACCGAAAATTGGAAGCAGAAATGCAAAGAATGAATAGCAACTGGGAAGAACTGCTCAGGATAGAGTTGAATGGAGAGTGCTGGTGGACAACCCATGTTCCTCCAAGAGGGGTAACAGGTATAAGTAAATAAGTAAGTTCATTAAAACAAAAGAAGTAAACACTTGAAAAGAGATCTTAAACTTCAATTTCTTTTAAAAACACAATGTTAAAGGTTGCCCAACCTGGACGTTTACAATGAAAGAATGTATAACAACTGGAAAGAACTGCTCAGGATAGAGTTGAGTGGAGAGTGCTGGTGGACAGCCTATGTTCCTCCAAGAGGGTTAACTGGCGTAAGTTAGTAAGTATGTTACAAATATAGTTTGTATTGTTTTTAAATGGTTAGAAATAAAATGAAAATATTGTAAACTTTAAGGGTCATGTTTGTTCTCACCCTTCAGCATCGTGATGAGAAATTTGCAAGTTTTGGTACGATAAATCTTCAACTCACAGATAACTCCTAGCAAATCTCTTCTTTTTTTTCATGTGTCAAAGAAATCGCTTTAAACACTGATGAGTTACATATTAATGGAAAGTGTAATGAAGTCGTATTCATAATTGTGTGTGTAGGTTTTTTGAAAATTTCAAGTGACAGAACAATACAAACAACTTCATAACATGAAAAAATAACAAAATAAATGGAAGGAGTGATTTCGATCAGTTGTTTACATTAAATACATAATTTGTAATAGATACATTCAAAGTATGTTTCAATTATATTATGTGTACGTCATGCACCCTACTACACTATTAATACCATAAATTATATAACAGAATTCAATGACGCTGTTGACGTTGTCATATTATCATTGTGCCTGAGCATAGCTAAATTTCATGACACGGATTACAGCTGTACGGCTACAAATATAACTGAAATTCCTGTCAATTTTCAACTCATATACTACATAGTTTACAAGCGTTGTACTATAAATCATTATTATTATATATAGTTGTATATTTGATTTCTTCAAGTATAATAAACCCGTTCAAATTTTAGTCATTCATTTATGGTATTCCTGGTTATCGAATTAGAATACTGTACACAGTACAAAAGTAAATTGTATTTGGTTCAGATGATAATTTGATCCGTTAATACTAATAGTAATTAGTTATATGATAAAATGAATATAACCTACCGATAAATTATATTCTCTGAATGTAAATAACCTAAAGCAGAAGCAATTTGTGCTGCATAAAATCGGGTTCGTGTTTCAGTAAATACTCGTTCACGTTGAATATGATAAAATAACTATTAAAAACATGTAAAAAAAGACAATATTTTAGTTTAAGTAGGGAGTAGATTTCTGTTAGAATATTAACCTATGAACACTTGTTTTCATTAAAGTAACTTGGTAATTAAATCTAGATACGTACATTTTTTACTTTTAAGCATGACTATTTGTGTAACCTTTTATTTCCCACTCTCATTCTTTTGTTTTGACTGAGATCGATTATTAAAGCCAAGAAATTAGTTTTTAATGTGTTGATGCTTAGCTGTAAAATCTTATTTAAATATACCTAGTATTTATATTATTTATTAACATTAGGCCTTTAAATTATTACAATGAATGATTTGAATTATCTTGCTGTCAATATTCAAGACAGAATCTTGATGAGTCTTAGTTGGTATGTGGATATGCTGAACGAACTGCCTTCATATATCCATTTTTCAGAAGCTTCATACAGTAAATGGATTTTGGCTAACAGCAGAACTGATGATGTGCGTTTATTCTCACTTAGAACTTACCAACTGGATGTACTTGAATCTTGACGTTAATGTTTGCACTACAAACTTCTTTGATTAGCATCAAACACCCAATATCTACATTTCTCAGTTTAACACAGTAAAAGAACTGCAGATAAAACATTATCATTTATTCAACATTTGACCAATAATTAGTAACGTGGTATATTTTCAGACAAAAATAGTATTATTAAAGCATTATTACACGTCACTGTAATCTCAGTAATCCATAAGAGAGAAAGATATAATTATGTTGATCAGAATTCACCCAATGTTCCTTTCAATTTACTCATCTTTTTGGCTATCCAATAGATGTAATATTTGTATTTGTGATTACACGACATGCGAATGATATTACAGAAAATATAATTGGTTATGTAAATGAAATTCTCTTTTTTACGTTTGCAAACCTGGAAGCAGTCTTAGAAACCAAAATATGTAAATACGAGCTAAATTTAAATGTAAAAATATATCTTGAAGACTGCTTTGAAGTAAGTTTATGTTCAGTGACCCAACTGAAATATTGTTAAGTAATTAAAAGTGCAACATTTTAAAAGATAACTGAAGAAAAGAATGCAAAAAAACATAGACAGAAGTAAAAATCATCAAAATAAAACCTGACCGTAATAGGCATCGGTACAATTCACCGCTCTTCATATCAGCGCAACCCAAGAAAAACACTGAGGAGATTAAAAGAAAACTACAATAATCATACCTGTGTCACCACTAAAGAAAACATACAAAATGTGATAAATCGTGAACAAACAAAACAAGGAATGGAAAGTGTGGGACAACAATAAGCTTAAGTTTTAAAGCAGGACAAAGAGTGGACACATTTCTATGAACCTTGATCAGTGTTGGTACCTACATCTATAGTTTATTTTGCAAATCCAAATTGGAACGTTGGTAGATTTCAATATTGCTTAGTTCGACAGGCAGTAGCTTAACGAGCTAATCTCATATCATAGTTTGTCCACCACTCACATTTCGGTAACCTGGGCCCATTCTGACCAGTATTAAGGTTGGCTAGGGTTGGATATGTGTAACATATCCCCCAACTACTTTAGTCAACGATTTTTGATAGCCCCATCAATCGGTTCAAAATGAATGTTTCATCAGACTATTTCAAGGGGTATCCACCAATTCGGGGTCTTCTGGGATAGTTTTTTGAGCATCATCACGTTTCGTTTAAGGTTACTCATATACATCACTTCTGTTTTAAACCAGTTTGAATATTATCTCAAGCTACTATACCGCGAGCATCTTCTTTATGAGTCTCATTTTGTACCAGAGAAATACCGAACTAAATAAATGTACTCCAGAATAGACAATGGCCTTCTCTCAAACTAACGGTGACTCGCTTTATGCTTGATATTGGTGCTTCCTAAGAGCAAACAGTTGTCCGAATTCAGTCAAAATAATTAGTTGCCATCATTTTTCAAACTTTATTGCTTTTTAAATGGATTTAATAATTGGAAAGTATATTATTAACTTATGATCCCGAAGAATTATTCTAATAGCATTAAAGAATTCGTCACAAAATGCCCACAATAAACAAACCATAATATACAATCATCCAACAACAGGAAAACACAACGATGTAGTGTTTGTTGCACGCAAAAATAATGTATTAGTTTGCCTCTCTCAAAATTCTAAACATAAGAGAAAAAGAGTAAGATACTGTTGTCATTTCTATTCGACATAATGTTGAAAGTTATAAATAACTGAAACAGTGTATAATGTATAGTGTATATTCACAGTACAAGTTAAAAATAAATAAACCAATCGAACTTAATTATTAACTTAGTCTTAATTAAACAACGATTATCATATTTGCATGCATCAGTATTAGGTAATTAAATAATATACATGTATAGTTAGATAATTCATGACTACATTATTAGTTTTTTGAAATATACACGCGAATGAAGATTAAACCTATGTTTGAAATGAAGGCAATCATTATCAGATTGTATTTACATTAATAATGATAACAATAATAACAATAATAATAATAATAATAACAATGTACTTACCTCCCCACCATTGATATAATCCAATACAAAGTATAATTTAGTTGTACTTTGAAATGAAAGGTGTAGTTTACACAGAAATGGATGATTTAAACTTTTAACCAATACATTACGTTCAGACATAACATTATCAACTTCTTTACGCTGTTTAACTGCATCTTTTTTAAGTACTTTTATTGCTAATGCTTGATTTGTTTTACGTGTAACAGCTAAATAAACCTTTAAATATATTTGTTTGTTTTTTTCAAACAAAAGAAGATTTATTCAAAAAATTAGACATAGATATATGAAAATGCCAAATATAGTTTTGATATCATAGTTTTGATGAATATATTATAATAAAAAGTAGTTATTTTTAATCAGTTGAACGATGGACAAGTATAGATATTTAAATAAATACAAGTTAATCCATCAAAAACTCTAAGTAACGTACTGAAAAGATAAAATACTGTAATAACTTGTAGCCTTGGGCATGGGGTTAGCGACCCCATCCCGTAGAAAACTAACTTGCTAAAAAAACGCTAACCCGAAAAAATTATTCAAACCTTTTAAACTCTTCCCTGGGAATCAGAAGGTCTTCATTTAGAAGAACTATGACGCCTCATGATAAAAGCCGAGTTCCTTCGGAAGTGACGAGGCCGATGCCCCTTCTGACAACCAAATCAACCACTTATTTAGGTACATGGAATACTCGTACAATATGGGAGACCGGGAGAGCCTTTCAAATTGCTGCAGAAATGAGGAGATACAACCTAGAGGTACTTGGGATCAGTGAAACACGTTGGACACAAGTTGGATAACAACGACTAGCTTCAGGAAAGCTTCTGTTATACTCCGGCCATGAGAAAAATGCTCCACATACACAAGGAGTTGCATTGATGCTGTCCAAACAAGCACAAAATGCGCTTATAGGATGGGAATCTCATGGACCAAGGATCATCAAAGCCTCGTTCAAAACAAAGAAAGAGGGTATTTCAATGAACATCATCCAATGCTATGCGCCTACCAACGACTACAGTGAAGACGCTAAAGATCAATTCTATGATAGGCTGCATTCAATCATCGAGAAGTACCCAACAAGGGACCTGACCATTCTGATGGGAGATTTAAATGCCAAGGTTGGAATGAACAACACCGGATATGAAGACATCATGGGACGACATGGTCTAGGAGAAAGGAACGAAAATGGCGGGAGATTTGCAAACCTATATGCCTTCAATAAACTGGTCGTAGGTGGCACTATATTCCCACATAAACACATAAACAAAGCCATATGATCTTCACTGGGTCATACTACACAGAACCAAATCAACCATATCTGCATCAATAAAAAGTTCAGGAAAACAATGGAGGATGTGAGAACCAAGAGAAAGGCTGATACAGCATTAGATTATCACTTTCTGGTCGCCAAGATGAAATTGAAACTCAAGAAGTACTGGACAACCGGGCGGACAACATTACAAAAGTTTAATACGGCCTTTCTTTTGGGATACTGACAAACTCAACAAATTCAAGATAGTCCTCAGCAACAAGTCCCAGGCCTTTCATTATCTACTCAATGGAGAAGGAACTACTATGGAGAGCAACTGGAAGGGGATCAAAGAGGCAATCACTTCAACATGTCATTAGGTCCTGGTTCACATGAAGTACCATCACAAGGAATGGATCACTGTTGATACACTGGATAAGATTCAAGAAAAAAAGGAACAAGAGGGCAGCAATCAATATCAGCCGAACAAGAGCAGAAAAAGCCAAGGCACAATATGAATACACAGAAGTAAATAAACAAGTGAAGAGGAGCATCAGAACCGACAAACGTAAATATGTGGAAGATTTAGCAACGACGGCAGAAAAGGCTGCAAGAGAAGGAAACATGAGACAATTGTATGACACGACAAAGAAACTCTCTGGAAATCGCCGAAAACCAGAACGACCAGTGAAAAGCAAGGAAGGCGAGGTAATCACCAACATTGAAGAGCAACAAAACAGGTGGGTAGAACACTTCAAAGAACTCCTGAATCGACCAGCACCATTGAACCCATCCAACATCGAAGCAGCACCCACGGACCTCCCAATCAATGTTGGCCCACCAACAATTGAAGAACTCAGCATGGCCATCAGACAAATCAAGAGTGGCAAAGCAGCAGGACCGGACAACATCCCAGCAGATGCACTAAAAGCAGACGTAGCGGCAACTGCAAGGATACTCCACATTCTCTTCAATAAGATTTGTGATGAGAAACAAGTACCAAAAGACTGGAAAGAAGGACTTCTAATCAAAATACCGAAGAAAGACGATCTCAGCAAGTGTGATAACTACAGGGGCATCACTCTCCTCTTAATACCGGGAAAAGTCTTCAACAGGGTATTGTTAAACAGGATGAAGGACTGCGTAGACGCCCAACTTTGTGACCAACAGGCAGGATTCCGTAAGGATAGATCGCGTACAGACCAAATCGCAACTCTACGGATCATTGTGGAACAATCAATTGAATGGAATTCATCACTCTACGTCAACTTCATTGACTACGAAAAGGTATTTGATAGCGTGGACAGAACAACACTATGGAAACTTCTTCGACACTACGGCGTGCCTCAGAAGATAGTCAATATCATACTGAATTCATATGGATTAAACTTCAAAATCGTGCATGGAGGACAGTTGACAAAGTCGTTCGAAGTAAAGACCGGTATCAGGCAAGGTTGCTTTCTCTTTCTCCTGGTGATCGACTGGATCATGAAGACGTCAACATCTGAAGGGAAGCACGGGATACAGTGGACATCCAGGGTGCAGTTGGACGATCTAGACTTCGCAGATGATCTGGCCCTCCTATCGCAATCGCAACAACAAATGGAGGAGAAGACGATCAGTGTAGCAGCAGCCTCAGCAGCAGTAGGTCTCAACATACACAAGAGAGAAGCAAGATTCTCCAGTACAACACAGCATGCACCAATCCAATCACAATTGACGGAGAAGATTTGGAAGATGTTAAAACCTTTACATATCTAGGCAGCATCATTGATGAACATGGTGGGTCTGATGCAGATGTGAAACCGCGGATCGGCAAAGCAAGAGCAGCATATTTACAACTGAAGAACATCTGGAACTCAAAGCAACTGTCAACCAACATCAAGGTCAGGATTTTTAATACAAATGTCAAGACAGTTCTAATGTATGGGACAGAAACCTGGAGAACTACGAAGATCATCATCCAGAAGATACAAGTGTTTATTAACAGTTGTCTACGCAAAATACTTCAGATCCATTGGCCGGACACTATTAGCAACAACCTACTGTGGGAGAGAACAAACCAGATCCCAGTGGAGGAAGAAATCAGGAAGAAGCGCTGGAAGTGGATAGGACACACATTGAGGAAAGCACCCGACTGCGTCACAAGACAAGCCCTCACATGGAATCCTCAAGGCCAAAGTAAAAAAGGAAGACCAAAGAACACATTACGCCGAGAATTGGAGATAGACATGAGAAAAATGAACAAGAATTGGATGGAACTAGAAAAGAAGGCCCAGGACAGAGTGGGTTGGAGAATGCTGGTCGGCGGCCTATGCTCCATTAGGAGTAACAGGCGTAAGTAAGTAATAATTTCGAAAGCTTGATGGATGTCAATGGTATGCCCACTGCCAAGATATTGCACTGCTGAGGGCCCTTGACCCTCGCAGTCTCAATTTCTTTGGAACATGCTTGGAAATGAGAATATGTACTCTTCTCTCGGTTCTTTCAATGTATGTGCTTTGGTACGTACATGTAAATTGGTAAATTCACTTGGAGCTACTGAGAAAAGAGGACATCTAAATTTTAGTTTGTTTGAGCGAGCTGTTTGTTTCCCATAGTATCGTCAGTTTTGCTGACGGGCAAGTCACCTTTAACGCGGAATTTATCCTGTGATTAATGACTCCAATGATTTCATCCCGTTCGAAACGCAAATATAAGAAGCAGGGTTTTTTACTGTATCGTGTTTAACCCAAGGGTTGGTTTGGGAAAATTTCTGAATGAACTTAGCCGGATATTCATTTTCACGTGGGTAATTTGTAATGAGAGCAATTCCATCTTCCAAGCATTCCTTTGAGCAAAGTTTGCGTGCGCGGTCAACAAAGGTTCATGCAATACCCTTTTCTTAACTCACTGGACAGAAACTGTTTTAACTGAGATAAACTCCACTCCAGGTATTTTCGCGATGAATGTGTCTTTTTAATGTGCCATCTGAAGTTCGGCTGAGTCCAATATCTAAGAAATATAATTTACCTTATGCTTCGTGTTTCATATCCTTGTGTGCCTTCTTAAACAGATTGAGTAGGTTCATGATTGTTGCAGAAGAGAAATGTGCCATCAATATATCTATAGTAGAGTGTAGTTCCATGGATTGTATGCTTGAGCTTCCTCTGTTTCAGGTTTCCCATAAATATATTGGCCAGAATTGAACGCAAAGGGCTACCCATGGCCACTCCATCAATTTGGCAGTACAACACATTGTTAAATCGAGATTGTTTGTTTTTGGTACACAGAAACATGAGCTGTTTGAATTCGCAGATTGATGAAGGTAGAAGTTCGGGATATTCACATATGATATTTGCTGTTTCTTCCAAAAGGATGTTTGTGAAGAGTGATGAGAAATCAAACGAGACCATGAATTTGTCGGGAGCATTTAGGCTATCAAGCTTTTGTACACATTTAAAAATATCCTTCACACTGTAGGGCGCTAACTTCTTACGGATCGGTTCTAAGCACCTCTAAAATTATCATACACAGTGTATATATAATTAGTTATTATTGATAACCCTTGCCATTCCAATTCTTTTCATTCACTTATGTCAATTGTTTCACACTATACCCTACCTCAATGTAAATGTAAACACATATTTGGTTGCAAGCAGCTGATGAGAAACCACGAAATACAATGAATTCATATTATTCAACATCCATGTTCGTTCTTGCTTTATTTAAATTCAATAAGGGAACTAATTGCATTTATTGAATAATCTATACATTTAAACCATATTGCTAATATTACTTCTTTATTTGTATTGGTTATTCTCATCTTTCAGAATCGCAATTGATCACTGTCCTAGGGTATATGTGTATTCAGTTTAGATTGTCTTGATACTGCATTAAGTCACAAGTATTGTTAGCAGGGATTGATAATGGCTGGCAGTCTTATGTAAATTGTTGGATTTTTAACTTACATTATGAAGTGACTTTTCTAAAAGCTTTATTCAACCTAGGAAGTACTGGACGGCTATTTTGTTCTAATATGGAGTTCCCAAGGAGTGAGGACATGAAATCCAACGGGAACAGGTCTCAGCAAAGCAAATGCAAATAAATTATTTCTTCGTGAATTATATTTTCCATGCCTAATGTTTTCTACTACTACTTCTACTAAACAAATGTTTGTCTTTATAATTTCGTCCTGCTGTGCTGAATTTGTGTAACAGCTTGGACTTAAGCTAATATTTTATAGGTTTTGCGTTTCTTTCGACCGAACAACCAACTGACTAAATGAACAGCATTATGATTCATATCTACCATTTAATTCATTGAAGAACATCGACCATGATTAACTTTCCTACAACTTGACCATCTTCACAGATTATGGTTTTTTTAATTTTGTTTATTGTTTTGTTTTATTTTGCAACTAGTTCTAAGATATAAATGAAGATGCTTCCTATTCCAGATTGCTATATGTATTCCTGCACGATAAAATGCTTTAACTATCCAGATGGAGTGAAATCTGTTATCATGAATTATGATTATTGTTTATCGACATACTTGAAAATAATGCATACTGAAGCAATATCATTGAAATTGATAGCCTTAATGAATCTAATAATGAACAGAGTTTAAGAGCATTGATGTACGATATTCAATATTAACAACAACTGACAATGGTAACAATAGCATACATCAGAGGTCATTATCATAATGCCTGCCGTGATGGCGTTAGCCACATAATCGAACACAAGAGAAATAAGCAGTGTTTGTTGACGAGTGTGAAACATGAAACGCTAGTCTACAGGTAGAAATATATGGCACACGGGTATTATCTTATCGCGCACACAAAACTACTGATTACCGATGGATATCGTTACCAGATAGAGTGTAGTGTAGCGTAAATGTAACTTTAGTTAAACAAGTTATATTTGGTGCTTTACTTTTGAGTAACTAATTTAATCAAAACAGAACGTAGAGAAGTTAAATTCTATGCAAACTGACTCATCTAAGATTAATAACAAAAAATCATTTATTTCAGTTATTTATATCATACCTTTCCGAAATTTCCTTCACCAATAGTTTTCACAATTTCGAAGTCATCCAATGATGCTCTTTACGATAAGAAACATTTGTTAAAAAACCTACTTTTTATCTTCTGTTGGCCCAAGATCAATTAAATCCTATAAACGGTAGAATAAAAGTGAATCAAACATTATATATTCATAGAGAAAGAACTCATTACTTACTGTGTCTTGAGATGACGTTAAATTAGATAGTTTTTTGTCTTTATGAAGATCAAGAAATAGTCGTACATCTTCGCTTTTGATGAAAGAAAAGTAAGTTAATTTAATAGAGGAATATAAATACTTTATCTTACTTCTTAATCAACAACTCAGTGGATACAAGTTTTTTAACAAATTTATACAAACCTTTACGTCGATTTGTAAAGACGCCTAGCAGGTTATTTCCTGGCAATTGTAACCCTGTACAATCTTCTGATTCCCTCAACTTTACGCGTTAATGATTTTTTTCAAAGGTAAAAAGTTACTCACTTTCGTATAGATTGCATGAAATTCTGTATAATGACGGGTTACAGACCATTCTTGATTGTTTGCTTTCAAATGTATAATAAATTTCTGAAAAGTGAAATGAGATATTAAAGATTATTAACTATTTGTACCAAGTTAACTAATGATTGCTTCGTATCTAATTGATCCATTCGCAGAAAGAAACTCAAGCGGATGAATTAGACAATAAGGTTAGACTGTTGTTCGTATTTAAAAAATACAAACACATCAGTATATTTACAAGTTATTTATCAGGCAATGTCTATAGACTTAGATGACCGATTGTTATGCGGAGTAAATACCCCAAAGAAATGACTTTAAATTATTCACTTGTTTACCAGGTGACACAAACTTACCAAATCTTTCATCAACAGTCATTTGTTGAATTATTAAAATTTTTACTACAGATAGTCAGCCACAACAAAATTATAATTTTTATTCCCCTACTAACTATCCGATGAATAAATGATGAACAGCATTGCCATAAATAATCAATAATAAAATATTTTAGGTCTGACTCGTAAAGCGAATTTTGCTAAGTCTCGTTCTCAATAAGACTGTTAAAATGACGTTCATCTCAGTGAGATGGTGGAAGGCAATTCTAAATTTAAATTAATGCCCCCCGAATACAAATAGTAACCCGGACAAGATTCAGATAAGTGTAATCAAAATTAAGGCTCAATCTCTCCGCTTTCAACAGAAGCTTTATATCGGCCGAATACGTTAATATGATTGTGGCATTTAACTTCGTCAGTTAATAAGTTCAAACCTTATTCCTCTCAATGAAAGCTATCATTTTGCGCTTAAATTGTTGTAACCATACTACCACCAGCCAACAATTTCCATTATGATCGTCACATTTAAAATTTGTAGTCCTTATTTGATGGCAAATCAGCGTACCACCAAATTCTCAAAGGGTTCACCATTTTACCGAAGATCTTTTCAAAATACATATGCGATTGGGTTTAGACAAGCGAAGCTGCTGAATATATATATATAGGGATTTTGACACTCTACCCCCTAAATGTCCGGGTACGACCAAGGGTGAGGAGAGTCCGCTATTACTCTCGAAATGCTTCCACATGGCCACGCGTATACAGCCACTGCCAGCGAAGTCCTACTCACCGACTTCTCGAGACGGGAGTGTTGTTTACGAAAAGACAAAATGCGCCTTAACAGAGTTGGTGGACATGGAGAGTCCACCTGGGGAAGTTGGAGATGGTGCATAAAGGTTCCGGTATCCCAAGGGAACAAATGGTGTGTGAACCAATTATTGTCACCGGTTATCACGGGACTACATCTTCTGACGCTGCTCTACGGCCTTGTGGATCAGACCTTTAGGTCGAAGGCCCTGGGTGTGGCCCCCCACAAAACTCACCTGCTTCAATATGAGCATTCGTGCAGTGTCATATCACACACACACAAATCGAATGACTCTTGTGTATTCACACCCCTTTTTACTAATATTTATGTGTTCAATAAATAAATAATACTCTGCCATTCAGAAGTATGGTTAATTACAATAATATATATTTTTAGGGTAAAAAGTAAACGCGTTTCAGTACCTCAAACCTTAAAATCCGCAACATAATGTTTGATAACTTATTATTTTACTCGGTGACGCAGTATGTTACTGAAACTGCGTGGATATGGTTGGGTTTACAACACATAACTGACAACTTCTGTAAATTATCAGCTCTTAGAACTGTTAGCTTGCCACATATTTGATTTTATAATCACTAAAGCCTTTAAGTTGTTTCACACTATACTAATTACCTATGAATGCTGAAGAACATATATGTGGTCAGAAATCTAATTCCTCTTACGTCATCTTCCTAGTTGTCCTACACACCTGTGTAGGATATACCAAACTTCTACATCTGTGAATAATCTACACCAAAAAGTACCGGAACAATTCTTGCTCTGCGTAATGGTACACTAGCTTACATTTGTTTTGCACTAGAATGATTGGTTCGAGTTTAAATATTGAAGCTGTTTACCTTTCAATTCTAACAGAATAAGGTCAGTTTTGTAATGGACAGTTAGAAAAACTGACTGTAATGCCACATTAAAATGAGCACTTTAAAGTCTCTACACTTCCCCATGATACCAAAACAAACTAAAAGTGAGCGTATAGGCATAAAAAATAAAGAATAATTAAAACATTAGCAGATACGTAGCTATCAGATATCGATCAAACGTCCGATGTAAAAAAACCCAAGATAATAAGGAAAGGATCAGTACCAAAGGTTTTAATAAAATAAAAGGTCAAAGCAAAAGTTATTTCATCATCCCTGATATTTTTAACGAATGTGGTATTGATACAAAACACAGTTTGGATAGCAAAAATCTTGCAAAGCATCATGGAAATTATCGTGTGAGAAATAGTGAAATGACGTACATAGTTTTAAGTAAGGAGTGCAATTTGTTGTTTGAAATTACCTACAGTTGCCTTTTTCCGTGAACAACCAATCCATAGACTCGACTTTTTCCTCTTTCTTCAAACAATGGCACTGTCTTGACTAATACAGTACATTTTGAAAATATTTGAATATCTTTATTTAGTCAGCTAGTAATACTGAAAGTTTTTTCATTAGTAAATATGATAAAGTAGTAAACAATCAGTAACTAAGGTAACCATACAAGTCCACTAGCTACTTTGGTATATTTTACTGGCTGAAGAATAAATAAAAGAAAAACTAAGCGATATTTTGTCAAGAAATGGTGTTTGCTCACTGAACCAATCCTATTTTAAAGACTTCTTAGAATACTTAGCTTCTCGGCAAAAGCTGTTCGAAGTTTAGAATCTGGTTGTTACAAGTTTGTGGTGATATAAGATGAGATAGATATACGCTGTCTCTCCATTTAACTACTCAGACTCTATTCATATCTAAGTTATTCATTCATCCCTCATTCGTATCTCTCTTAATAACTTGAATAGCCTGGCATTCTTTTTTAAACTCCTCCTTAAACTAATGAAATTCTTTTAATCAAGCATAAATGTTTGATTGAATTCAGTCACTTGCAGTTTGTAATCTTCACAACACATCACATTGTTTTGTTTATTTCCAATATTTTCAACAGCTCGTATACCCAATAGGTATTAAACTTACTGTGTTTCGCTTTCCATGAATTAATGTAGCGTGGTCGGAAATCCCAACAACAGAAACTGACATGATAACCAAAATGTGCGGTGTTTTCACTACCTTGAAGGTCAACAAGATTGGATGGCTGGTATAAACTAGCAAATTTTTACTTTTGAGTCTTCATTTTATGGAGCGCTTCTAAAAGAAGAAATAGAGTACCTCAAATGCGAATTTATCGTCATGCAGTTCGAAGACTGTCAAGTCCACTTTTGTCGTATTATAAGAAGAATAGACTTATACTTGTCAAGTGAAATCACTGAGACCCTAAGAACCGAATTATATCCAGTTTTTGGAAAGCCTACGAAGCGTTTGTATAATATAGTAATTGTTTTGTAAATAACTAATCTCAGAAATCTAAAATTCATTTAATACGTCGAAGTGAATTCACCGTGTTCTCTATCATCATCCTTGATCCAGTGACAAATGAAGTTTGTGCTAGTTAGATCTTGAAATAAACTCTTTTGCATAATACACTCCATATCACTATGTTGTAACCCTTCCAAAAGCTCTTTGATGGCCCGTCGATCTGACTTCATTTAGATCGTACGAATGTTTGTTATCACCTATCCTCGTATACAATCATCGACTTAAATCACGTTAGTCAATAACGGAATTTAGATAAGTCAATTAACGAGAATGGCCTTCGGATACATATATTTTGCATGTAAAGTGAATATAATAGAACAAAGCAAAATGCAGCGCAGTGGAGATGGCTGGTAAGCCAACTCATTTTTTGCCAGGCGTTACTCAATATTTATAGGCAGACAAAATAAACTACAGACATGTGATGAGACATGGGATATGAAGTGTACACATGTATACGCTCATATAAAAACAGTCAAGACTGATAAGCAAATAATTAACAAGTTCAAAATATGACTCAAATAGAATGAATAGATTGGGCTGTCCGAAATTTAGAATAAACTATGTGGGCTTAACACAATAACTGACACTACAGCTCTTAGTTTACTTTAAAATGGTAGCTAGCTGATTGTATGCAATGTTCTTGTTATGATTGAAAAAGTATTATCAAGTAAGACATAAATATCATAAGATTAATGGGCATGAAGGCCTTGTAGTGACTCACATTCATCACGAGAACACGACTGGTTTAATAAAATCAATTATTCTTATAACCAACTGTACCAGTGTTTGTTTTAATATGCTTTTGTTTGACTGTGCTAATGACAGCTATTTTGTGCTTCCATTCCTATACTTACACTTTGATTGTAACTTCGCGCGAATTCGGTAACGTTTTGTAACCAAACTTCTATCCTAGCACGATCTCGGTATCCTTTCGATGCCACGAGATCGCCAGCGAATATATCTCGATTTGGTCCATTAACTGTCTTCTGATATTTGGCTTCTCGGGGATTTTATGGATTTATTTGGTTACGTTCAACCTTCGCCTTCTGATTAACTTGGTACGGGTTTCTTGGTAGCGGTGTTCATAGCTAATCTCAACTCGACGCCACGCTACAGCCTTATTGACCGGTCGGGTGGTTCTGAAACCCTGTGGCGGTAAATAAATTCCCAAAATAAATAGTCCTCCAAGTCTTCGACATTTGGTGCTGACCGCATAAATTTTAATGGACTCACCTTACTGAAGATGCTTAACCACGAATCCACACCAGATCGCGATTGGATACACCTTGCTACGCATCCCTCGCAACTGCTGGCCAGCTTAGATTAAACACTCCTAAACATGTCAACAACTTCTATGTATACCTTCAAATTTATTCATCCCTGACTTTTGATTTGACTTGGTCGGTACTCTTCGATTATACAGGTGTTATGAACAACAGAATTATCAAATCCTGAATATCTGTGTTATTACTCGGCAATGTTCAATGGTTGTCAAATTTTGAACGACAGTGTCCCTTGAATTCTGTGTATCTAGGATCCAGATAATGGACATTACTTGCCCTCAGTTTATTTGTTTCATCTTGTTCAACATGTATCATAATACATATGGAAGCATCTCTCTAAAGTAGAGGGATGTCAGACTATTCTGCAGCATCCCACTGTCAGCTTAATAACACAAGGTTTGCCGAATCGTCCATCAAAATAAAGATGCCCTTGTTCCATATGATCTGTCATTGAGCATTGAATGATTGAGGACGAAAAGAGAGGGATGGTGGATTATGTATATCAATCAATCAGTGGTTTGGCTGTTATTGCTTTACGACTCCTTTTTATCTGTTCTGTTAAATATACACAACATATTACGAGATAAACTGTCTGCCATGTTACAGCAGAGTGCGTTGAGAGAAATTTACATGATGTAAATCTAATGTGAGCTTGCGTATGTCGAGAAATCACACCATCTTCATCTAACCATGGTAGAAGGAAACTATTAACTAGACAGAATAAGTAAGAGCATTGTAACGATAATGGTACATCTGCTAAGATTTCCTTAGCCGACTTGCAGCCTACTTTGGGACTCTGATGGGTTCAACTACATATCTGAAGGATCTGTGATGGAAAGAACGAGTCCCCTTAGTAACCTAAGATGGAGTTCATTTGATACTAATGGTTTCTTTATTTCAAATCTAATTAGTATTCCAGGTACGTAGAATTCTTATATGCTAACAATATTTAGAATACAATTAATAGGATGTAGCTGTAACTGTGTGGCCAATGTTTTTATATTGTAGTGACTCACGTTTATCACGAGAACACGACTGGTTTAATAAAAACAATTATTATTATAACCAACTGTACCAGTGCTTGTTTTAATGTGCTTTTGTTTGACTGTGCTAATGACAGCTATTTTGCTGCTTCCATTCTTTCGCTTACACTTTGATTGTAACTTCGCGCGAATTCGGTTACGTTCTGTAACCAAGCTTGTATCCTGGCACGATCTCGGTATCCTTTCGATGCCACGAGATCGCCAGCTAATAAACATCGACTTGGTCCATTAATTGCCTTCTGGTATTCGGCTTCTCGGGGATTTTATGGAGTCATTTGGAACGAGCTTCTTACGCCTTCTGATTTATCTGGCACGTGTTTCTTGGTAGCGGTGTTCACAGTTAATCTCAACTCGACGCCACGCTACAACTGGTGATCCCAAAGTTTGGAACACGCCTCAACTTCTGATCAAATCTTCCAAAGAAGCCAATTCGGTGAGTCTATGATTTATCTATCCACGTCTGTCGTATATTTTCATATTTTTAATATATAATATACGCGACATGACGGATAACGATAAGAATAGTATTAATATAATAGACTCACACGTATGTGTACCGAATCCTTGTCACTTTTTATTCGCGTGATGTTGAATTCCACGCTTTATTCGAGAAATGTTACCCTATTAACGATTCTCCTCGCTGACCCGGCTGCTTGGCACGGAATGCATACGCATAAGCATATCCGTCTACCACCCAGCACCAAATGGTTAAGTTGAACGGTTTCACTGCCAACTTAAAAGTGTTCTACGAGCACACGAAAACGGCAACTGGCACGAAACCATACCGCTCGTTCTTTTAGGGGCGAGAACGAGCCTAAAGGCAGATATCCAATGTTCCGCCATTGAACTTGTATACGGCACGACATTGCGTCTGCCCGGAGAATTCTTCACACCACGGAGCAGACCTGATTTCGCTAAATCAGACTACGTCCAACGACTGTCTGCATTTATGCGAACGCTGCCTCCGGTGTCAACTCGAATACAACATCGACAGGTCGCTCTCCCTCGAGAGTTATCTACCTGTTCACATGTTTTCATACGAGTAGATTCGGTACGCAAACCTTTGCAACAACCTTACGAAGGCCCTTTTCGCGTGATCGCTCGTCACGAAAAGACCTTCAAGGTTGATCGACACGGCCGCGTCGAGATCGTCAGCATTGATCGTCTCAAACCAGCACACGTCGATGACAGTGCCCTATCTGACAACCTGAGATTCAATGCTAGACCTAGCAAACCTACTAGCGGGATCCTCAAATCATCTACAGGTCCCACGCTAGATACATCTGAGACCTCATTCTCACGTCCCGGTCAACAGCACGCGTCATCTGCACCGTCTACGGACGAGACAACAGTCTCACGTCCAGATCAGCAGACCACGCCGCCTCTGACCTCGGATGAGATTGCAGGCTCACGCGACGCGAACGAGACTGCCGTCTCACGTTCCGGTCGCCGAGTACGGTTACCCGTACGCTTCCTCGACTAGTCGCACAGTCGACAACCGATACGGTGTAGGAATATTCCTATGCTACTTGTATGCTACACTCTTCTTTTTTGATTTTCTTTTTGTTTCCCGAGCCCACGCCTTCGACCATCTCCGTTGGTTCCGTCGACTTCAGTCAACTTTGGCGAAAGCTGGCCTGATCACCCACGCTCTTGTCAACGTACTCAGTCGATATTTTGGTTTCGAATGCTTGGCATATGCTTGGTCCCGAACATGGTCGTTATGGTCGCTTCTGGTTCATCGGCTCAACGTGGTTTCGTCCTTCGTCTGCAGCGTTTATGGTCCGGACCCGTACGAACGCCCACTTCAGATTCTGGATACAAACCATTCTGGTGTAGCATGCCAACTCAAGCAACAAATACAACACATCGCTCCTGGTACCGTTCTCCGATAACGACCTTCGTTGGCAACTCGACGATCAACGATCGCTTTCCTGTTCGCCAATTCTCCCGTCCTACAATCGCTCATCAGCCGATCAGTCCCACGATTCAAACCGCTATTTATCGAAAGTGTAAACCCTTTCTAGCGGGGGGCTCCTGTAGTGACTCACGTTTATCACGAGAACACGACTGGTTTAATAAAAACAATTATTATTATAACCAACTGTACCAGTGCTTGTTTTAATGTGCTTTTGTTTGACTGTGCTAATGACAGCTATTTTGCTGCTTCCATTCTTTCGCTTACACTTTGATTGTAACTTCGCGCGAATTCGGTTACGTTCTGTAACCAAGCTTGTATCCTGGCACGATCTCGGTATCCTTTCGATGCCACGAGATCGCCAGCTAATAAACATCGACTTGGTCCATTAATTGCCTTCTGGTATTCGGCTTCTCGGGGATTTTATGGAGTCATTTGGAACGAGCTTCTTACGCCTTCTGATTTATCTGGCACGTGTTTCTTGGTAGCGGTGTTCACAGTTAATCTCAACTCGACGCCACGCTACAATATTTTCCAAAATAGTCCGAAACTACCCCAGCTTTTATGGAGTTGTCTTTCAATAGTGACGATCCAAGTTCATCTTCTCACAAGGTCTGTTCACCACACTTTTTCTTCCAATTTAATCACAAAAGCAAGCGTTCGGCACATTCACTTCACGAATACATCTTGCTTCATGCCTGTTCTGGACTAAATTATAGATGTTTTCGGTTCTCTTGATATCGAGATTCACTTTCATCGGTACCCGAATAGGTGTTTGATATCCAATGCTTTTATGATAGAGGTTATGAACCAGTCACTTTCCACACATATAATAGGTGACGTTCAATGACTTTGATCCAGCCAGTCGGCTACGATAGTTCTGGAACATTTAGTAATTATCACTGGTTCATATCTATTAAATGAGAGTGAATGAGCTTATAACTAGGCAACATATTTACTGTGACTGGCTACCGAGACACCACTGGATATTCATATGTCTGACCATATTCAGCTAATAATAAGAGGAGTAGAAAAACGAAGTAAAGATTACGAGCGAAAGCGGAATATAAATAAATGGAAGATAATTACGATTATGTAGATAATAAATACAGAGAGAAAATAAGTGGAAATGTGTGGTGTTCGTATAAAGTAACGATAGTTTTGTATTTGATTTCTGGTTGATTTCGAATTTTTAGATACAGAGCGTTCGTTTGTGCTCACCTAGTTCTATTCTGCTTTAAATCGCACTATTTCGAAAATTCCTATTTAATACAAGGATTCGAATACTTCTAATCATCATAAGATGTCGCATGGAGTGAAGTGTAATCAAGTTAGTGAGCGAGATATGGTCTTGCCCCACATATTTTCAAAAGTGTAGTATATCGGCAAGCTTTGGTGATTCTTAAAATAACCCCAATGAGTATTAGCCTATTGTTACCTATCAGAAAATAGTTGTGGTAGATGAATATTTTAAGGCAAAAGCAATGGTAATGTAAAACAACACATATTTTAAAGGAATACTGTATTAAATGAAGTTTCCCCACGATAAATAAAAATGTGACTAAATACAATGTAAGCGAACAATTGTTTTCAATTAGATCGTCATCAGGCTTTACTCCCCTATCCCTTCCATGGCCAGTTATAACTTAACTAACAATTTTTTAAATATTTTTTTATAAATTTTATTATTATCATTATTTGTTTTATTCTATCTGTGTTATTGTTAACCTTATTTCCACATCCATTATTTGTTTGTCATTATCCGCCTCTTTGTATTCTTCACTATCTAATTATTTACACACATCTTATTACGTAATGATTTTTAAGGTTTTGTGATTACTATTCCTAGTCTATTTACCCATGTTTATTTGACCTTCTATTTCCAACGATTAACTATTGATAAGAGTTTTGTTATTGTAGTTTATTATTCTTACCACTATCTGTTCACCTGTCTTCGTACTATCAACTTGTACTTTTACCTATTTTATGTGTAGTGACTTATTCTATTTCATTGTGATTATCGACCCATATTGCCTTGATTGGTTTAAAATTTTCGTATAAATATTCATGTATATTAGAGTAAAGCCTGATGACGATCTAATTGAAAACAATTGTTCGCTTATATGTGTTGTTCTAATTTTCACAATGGGAATCTTTAATATTCTAAATATAATATTACCAATTATTGATTTATAGATCTGTCCATTGCCTACCCTAAGAAACACGAATGGACCAGTACTAGAGTCAGAGATAAAACTGTATAAACTTGAAGTTATTGTATTGTAACTCCAGTTGATAGCTCAGTAATCTACAAAATAACCATTATGAATTACAACACAATTTTAGGTTCCTCCATCATTTGATTAAAAGAAATAACAGTATGTTAATTCGTTAGCATGAATACATAACAGATGTCTTCTTGAACCGGTGCAAAGACTCAAGTAGTTCTCTAGGAGTCTTTAATCTGTCCCTGGTTGGTGTTTCGCCGTTGAGATAGACTCTGTGAATTTATGTTATATACAATGCCTAACACCATAATTATTACTGTATGATGACAAAAAGAATTCCTCTTTGTAATTTTAAACGTTTTATGTACTATACAGCAAGTTATGTTATGTGACTTTTAATAAGCCAAAGAGTGACAGTACTTACAGGATACGATGAATTCACTGCTTTCTCTTAAAATACATACAAGTTGGTTAGTTTATATACTTCAAAAGTACTAACGTAATTTTCAGTTTAGAAAACAAATTGTAAACCAATAACGAATAGGATCAAGGTCTCGTTTGTACATGCATTTTAAGACTCTATTTACATGATATTATTGACAAGAAATGAAGAGTCAGTCGATATATTTTTTTAAGGTTTCCGAGTTATACTTCCAAAGGTTTTAAAATATATTGGTGTTTAGAGAATTTGATCCAAGTACGACTGGTATTGACCGAATAACAAAAGATAGAATTTGTCTTTCAGAGTGATGGAGTCAATACATATACAAAAAAGATTAAACTCTGCTAGATGCTTACTAGAACTATTCTGAATAGCCAAAAGGTTAAACAAGATTGAAAAAACCAGACCAAGGTCATTGATCATATATCTACTATCTAGTTATTACGACTGATCAAAAACGCACATCGGGCGTTAACGTAGTTTATTTAGCCAAAACAGGCTCCTACATAATATAGCTTATATTTTCATGGTTTCCCTAGTCAGACGATAGTATTATGTAAATAAATCGAACAATAGACCGTATTACCAACAAATTATCTGTATTAGTGGCCAATAAGGTCGTGTCGCACTTTAAATTTCTATTTCTAAAGATTGCTCATCTTGGTTTTTTTCAGTACTCTTGATCAACTTAACCAGTAGGCTTCGCGGCATTACAACACATGACCTAAATTGAATAAATTGAGTGTAGGCACAAGTTTTCATATTTTGCTAAACTGACTTGTGCTAGATCGATAAACTGAGGACCTACACCAGTTACCAAACACTATAGGACTCCAACTCATAACATTGCTCCACTCCCTAAGGGTTGAACCTCTGAATTAAATGTTTCAAAAGGAGGAGGTATCTCCTGAGAGAACTGCCTATCTCTGTTTCAGGGACTTGGGGATAACTCAATTATTAAAAAAAATTTTATTATGATTATACAGGTACATGGATAGTAGTATATTTATAAACACATGTTTATCCAATTCATCCTAATTTTATGAAAACTAATAAAGTGCTGACGCGTGTCTCATTGATACGGATGATAATGATGATTGACAGTGCTCAATCATCAATCAGTCACCAGCTTCATCAAGTCCCTTTGAAAAAAATAAAACACAAAAGGATCAATGATTGTTGAATTTTCTTCACAAATGTATTGACGTAAATAAAATACAGAAAATAGTTGTAATAGAATAGTATTAATTCATCTTTATTTCATGGTTTGCACTAGGTTTTTTCCAACTGTATTCATATTTGAAGATAACATTCTATTAAATGACAAACATTGGTGACTGAAAAAATCGAAGTGACAAGTATCAGTACTATATCTACAGCAGTAACTATCCAGAATTCGGAACTTCATTAAAATGGATTGTTTAATGACTACAGATTTGGAGAGTTTCCATAATCTTAGGAACCGAATGAAGGAAAATTATACACCAGTGAAATGATGTATATTTAGGTACGATTTTAGTCAGAATTATGAATTTACATTGGCAATTACCAATGTTAGATATTCAATACGTAATTGAGGAGACAGTGGGAAACAACAAAATAGAAATAAACTTATATTATTCTCCCTAAACCGTTGCTATCGTGTTATTCAAACTAATGAATTGTATATAAATAATCTGAATAGTTTAAAACACTTGTTAATAATTATCTGTACACACTGAATATCAGCTGATTAAACAATGATTATTTAAAGTCGTGTACAAACTTGATTAAAAGTGATATCTGTCTTTAAATATTCGGAAATTATACTCGGGTTTCAAAAGCTGAATGTATCTTTATAAAGATTTGGTGTTCTTGCGAATTTTCACGTGATTAACAGTAAGAGTATTCCAGTACTGTTCATACGAATATTATATATCAACAATATAATATGCGAAGATTTCATAACACTTGCCAAATACAACCACTTTATAAATGTGTACTAAGAATTTATGGATTTGCAATATTGCAACTAATTACTGACTTATTTTAGCCCAAGAACTTTTTTTTCGATAACATATCATAGAGTGATGAATGCACTTATATATTTAACTAAAATTATGTCATTTTTTATTTAACTGATGAAATCTCAAGCTTTTCTCAAATTCTAGTGGTTTTCTTAATCATATCATGATAATTTTGTTTCAAGCATTCGAAGAACTCATGCACAATGCTTTTCTTCAATAATTTTAAATACAAAGTACAGTCAAAATATTTATTATAATGATATGCATCCTGCTTTTGATTGGTGTTACATACTCCTTATATCTATAAACATAAGTAGCATACACCATATATATATGAAATAATTACTTACCTGATTAAACTTTTTAAACTCTACTAGTTCATTAAATATAACTTCTAAAATAATACGTGATGTCATTTTGTCTGTTGATAATTTCTGTGATACACCTAAAATATCACCGCATTCACGAATATAATATTCTAGGTCGTCCTCGTTACCTAAGCATTACGAAAACCAGTAGAGATTGAAATGATCATAATAATAATAATTATATATATATATATATATATATATATATATATATATAATAACGATTTACTTAACTAAGTAAATTAGAAATAAATTATAAACAGATGGATGACGGCTATGGGCAGGATCCAGGATGTGTGTTTTACCCCATTTGCGACTCATCAGCTAGATATATTTGCATCTCAGATTTGGTGTCTAATCCCGGACTCAAACATCATAATAGTCGCTTATGAAAGATGATAAAAAACAACGTAAACTATTTAGAACAATCAATACCTCTAAATGAAACCGTCTGACAAAGATACAGAGGTAGTCTTAATAGGTCTGGAATATTTACGCCGATAAAATAACAGATTTGTTTTCGCATTAGTTGAGAAAAAACTCGAAAGCAACTTTTTTTTCTGTTAATGGATACAAAATTAATAGTGATTTCCTTTTTTGCATTATGGTCGCAAATATAAAAATATTACATATGTCTTGATTATACACAACTTGGTTTTTAAACAACGTTAAAAAAAACTTTGTAATACCTTTGTTGTCAATGAAACTTCCTTGCACTTAAGGCTTATCTCATGTGATTCCAAGAAATTCGGATGAAATCACTCTATAGTAGAATCATCATTAAGTTTACCAATAGGCAACCACTAAAATAAAGTTGATTTCAGTTTAATATTTCATAGATTGTTGTATGAAAACCGACCTTACACAAAATAGTGATTTAATTATTAAACCATTTTGAGTAAATTTTGTCAATAAAGGTGTTGTTATTGCTGACTTATGTACTTTTTCCAATCTGTAAAAATTATTTATAAACTTACATTTATTTGTTACCTGGGCTAAACGTGCTTTGGGTGTAGAAAATTGTTCGTCTAAGTCAAATAATTCTAATGGTGGTGGACCAGGTTCACGAAAGTTAGGAGGAAATACCTAATACATATGAAAGTGGAAGACGAATTTATTCAGTTTATAATCGGAATCGAGACAAATTTTAAAAAAGTAGGCCTAGGATAATTTTATTTCAGTAGATTTATGGATATTGTTGAGTTTTATAGTTAACACTATGGGCTGACGTTATTTACATAAAGACTAAAGACCGGCAACAACTGAAAACTTGATTGTCTTAGTATGAGACTACTTGTCAGCAAGTCTCTATGACCCCACCGAGGTATGAGCAGTTAGCTATCAGAGGCATTGAAAAATGTTTTGTGTTATCTCGGAATGACTTTAGTGACAAGTGTAAACTATTGAATGCCAGTTCAGTAGTCTAAAGGCTAATTGTTAGTCTCATGGACTAAATACCGTGGGTCCAAATACATGTGTGGTCGTGGATATGCAATAGTGAATAATCCCAGACAGATACAGAGATATGGAGCTCCTTCTGACAAGGTTGAAAAACTTAGTAGCTTAACAAGAGAAAAAAATAAAGTTTATCGAGTAGAATTACCAATACATTGTTATTTCCCCAGACCACAACAGAATTTTCCAAGTTTATGTTGAATGAATGTATGAAATACACAACTCAAAGACCTGTGCACTCCATGGTACGCACAGTGGCATAGATGTAGTAAAGACTGCTACTAGACCAGAGTTCAGTAGTTCAAGGAAATTAATAACAGTCGATACCTCCAGTCGACCACTCCATTTAGGGTTATAATCTAGGGACCCTCATTTTGATATCCTGCTCAAATGCTTGCAGGCCACGTGTTACGTATGCCCGAACACCGATTACCACGACGTGCAATGCTAACTGGTGTTCGGGATGGTCGGAAGAAAGTTAGGGGCGGCCAAACCAAAACGTGGAATCAGTGCTTGAAGTCCCTAACTTCTAATCTGAGCCATGTTGGGAGATGCAGACTACTTTGTTGGGGTCCGCGTGACTATCGTAACCAATGGTTGGAGACTCTTGGTGACATGGCTCAGAATCGATCACAATGGCGTCGGTGTATACACTCTCCGTCTTCCCTTAAACTGAGAGATTAAAATCGCTTCATATCTTTCTTCCTATGAACTAATTCTTTCTTCCTGTACTATATCCTTATTGCAATCTTTCTTTCATATATTACCACCTCTGAATTAACTACTTTTATGAATCCGGTGTCCATCTTGTTGTGTCAATGAGGTACAGCAACTTGAACCGATGCACATATGTGCATGGTCCTACGTTATAGATGACTGACTGAGCTTGCATCTTCCTAACATGACAGAGTTATCTGTTGACAACATAATACTCTCAGTCTCATGCCACAAATATATATCATGTTGACCCTCGTTCTTCAACTTGTAAGTTACGGCTTATGGGCATCGTTCTGGCATTGCGCCTAACGTGCCTTGCAAACCTGTACACCTAAAAGAATATGCACGCTATTTTTATCCACGTTTTGGATACGAAGAGTGTACAGACTTTTGAAAACGAAAGAGTTAGCTAGTAAACGTTATGTGCATACGCAAAGTACACAGTACAGGTAAAGATCTCGATTACCATAAGGACACGTTATCTACTTATACGCAGTGCACAGATCAAAGACTCAGATATCCCATGATTTACAAAACGGCACAACTACAGTCCACCTTTCTGCCTTGACATGACACGCCAATAATATCACTAAATTGTTTAATAAACTCTTCTGTAGTCCAATTATATGGCGGGACAAAGGATTATTCACATCCCTATCGACCACACACATTATCCCACGAAGCACGTCCGCACTACTTCCTAGGCACCAAACAAAGATTTGTGTTGGATTCTGTCTAAGTGGACATCCTCATACTGCGACGAAACAACTATCCAGTACAGTCTGGTTCTCAGCAGTTGATTAACCTAGGTTTTTTCGTGATGTAAACTAGAGAGACACGTTCTTATAAAAACGCTTGAAAATATTCTACTGGATGACTTAAATGAAAACAAAATTCGTCGTCGGTAGCTTTAAAATTATAGGGCTTTTGTCATCAAGTTTTTAAAACAACTACATTTGGATTATTTAGTGAAAAAAACGCCAAAATGGCTTTTCTAGGCAAAAATACCAACAAGTAGTGAGTTAATACCACCAAAGGTGACCTTAAAACATTGTATGTGATTGACTGATACGTTTAAAGCCTGATACGGGTTTTTCTGTTTACGTTCAGTTGTCCTTTAAATCATAGAAATATGTGAAATAAAATGATTAAACATTGGTGATGGCATGTATATTCACGCCTAGATTCATGGTAAACTTTAAATTACCATAAAAAAGACTACTAGATTGCTGATCACTGAAAGATACTCGAGCACTATTAAACTCAAGATGTTAACTCAGAGTAATAAATTCTATGGGGCTATTTGACTAGTTTTTGTGTGTGTAGAAGAAATTTTATTTGTCGAATATCTGAAAAATTTGTTTTAGAACTTGATTTTATTTAATACGCTGACTAAACAAAATTCATTAAAAGCTAGGGGGGAGACTAAATTGTTCCTATTCTCGAGAACTACACCTGACAACATAAACACTACATATTTTGTAGAACTTAGCCTTAAATCATCTGGTCTTGTAGTCCTTACTTCAATGTAGAACTCGTCCGGTGAAATTCAGTGGTTGAATTCTCTTAACATTCATTTACTTTTGACTATCTGCCTCGTATTTATTCCTACTAGAATATTTTGTTGGTTCTAAGTATTTCTATTTATTTGTAGGAATTGAAAAAAACTAAGTTTTTAAACATAACTACCAAGAAAGAGAAAGTTGATCGACAGTCTCAAACACTTAAATATATGAAAAGTCAGTTTTAGATTTCAAACAGCGAATGCATGGAAATCGAAGAATCATAGCTTCTGGATTGTATTGTAGTAGCTTCGCAATAGTACCAAGACCATCGGTGATATTTGAAATCTCGTAGAATTTTCTCAGCGAGTTCGTGGCTTTTACATATATCAAGTTAACAATCAGTAGTTTGGTAAACCTTTATTTTATATTAGAATCAAGGGTAGTTATTGTTAGTCGTACATTTTTACTTTATCGATACAATTGTGAATATAAGTTTCTTATAAGATTATTTTAGCCAGATCTTACTGAATGGAATGAAGATAGACACCAGATAGGTTAAAATGTTTTGTCTCAAATTGGGATTCATATATGTAAACAAACATCATAAACCAAATTTCTCCACCCACAGAACAAAATATAAAGAGTGGTATTTTAAAGATACATGACTTACTGCAGGTTGCACTGGAGGTAAAGGAGTTTCAAACTGAGGTGAAATTAAACTTAAGGGTTCGTGCTTCACACGGAGTTTTTCATAAGCCCTTTAAAGATGAAAAACGATTAGGAATGTGCATAATTGCTTAAAATAACTGGTTATTACAAAGATAAAAGGATTTCATCTCTAAATGTTGTACTTACCGTATTCAATTTTATAGATACAGCTTTTGGATTAAGAAATAATATCTGTGTGTAAATAAGTCTTTTGTTTCAAAATATAACCACGTAAAGTAACTACTTGTAGCCCAAACGACTGATGTTATGTGGAAATCTGTTTCATTTCATCGGCTTAACGTGATAAAATCACATTTTTTCCAATCTTTTGGTTACATAATGTTGAGACACACAGTGTTTGAGACTGATGTAATCTAAGAATTCATCTTGTTATAAATATTTGCAAGATCTTTGAACAAACATAAAATGATGTCAACATAAATTTTCTGCAAGTTTAAATTTGTAGACTTGAAAACTTACTGAATAGCTTTCGGAACGAGGCTTGTGTCCATACAAAACAAACCTTGATCAAAGTAATTTTTGACATTCTGTGGAAGTTCATCACTTTCTTGTAAACAAGACATTAGATTACTCGATAGGCTTATAATATCAGGGACTTGGTAGTATGTTTCAATTTCTGGTTCTTCGGAATCTATGGAGTTTAGCGTGACGGATTCTTCTGTAAGGTATTTGAATAAAAACTCGAATATTTTAAAATTGTCTTCTTTGTTTATATATGGGTCAGAGAACATGGCTGCGCTCCCAACAACAGCTAAAGTCCCACCGTTAGGTGACTAAGAAATAAGTTTTGAAGCAGATACTCACGAGGGATTTGTAAACGGCACAAACAGGTCTATTAAGTGGAAACGCAACACTTCCAGTTGACAGTAGTGCAACTGCAGGTTTGGCAACATTGAGAGAAGCTCCATAAGGATATAAGAATTGTAACGCCTGTTTATGTGATAAGTCCATTTGCGTAGCTGATATGGACATTTTTTCCAAGACTTCCGCTATTCCTCTATATGGTCAGTAAAAATATGTTTAAAAATACCTATTCAGTACTCCATTCGGGATCAATGCTTCTTTAGGATGATAATATTTAAAATATGACGTTCGCAGGACGGTATCTGCTATTAAAGATTTCACCAATCAGCTTACCACTGTTAACCATGACCCCAAACTGCTCCAATAAGAAGTTTATGTTTGTAGTATATTTTGCCTCACCGTTCTCACCCATAAGAACAAGCAAAGATCCACCAGTCTCAAGATATTTTTTAATAGAATTAAACTCTGCAGCACTAAACTTTTCTGTAGGTCCAGATATTACGAACAACTTGACAATGCTAAGACGTTCGTTTGTAATTTCATCTTTATTTCTACAAGACAATAGTTATGAAAAAACAAGGCAAACTACTTACACAACAACCTTCCAAGAGGATTTGAGGTACTTAGCAATTTCTGTAAAATGTTGACTCAGAGTAAAGGCTTCCTTTTTAGTTTGATTGAATACAACTGTATTCTCCTCAATCTTCATTTGTGTTGCCTCGGGCATCTTAAAATCTTTGAAACTGCACCATTTTGTTGCTAGGGTAAAAAGTGATTAGTTCGGTATTCAATCCAATGTCCAATGCTTTTGTTATGAGTATATATAAAATTGACCGGTTTGTTTGCACTTACTTCATGTCGCTTTAATACGGTTCCATCTATTTGACAGCGTCATATGGGTATTGGTCTAGCCACTCAACTGCATTCATTCGAGCCAATGTGGTAGCTTCCTCTGGATTTGTATATTCTGTAATTCGAGTGAGTTTATCTTAGAGCAGAAGGGGTTCTGGATACCAGAAGTCTTTGCATTACCAGTCAGGAGTTTGGTTGGTTGTAATGTAAAGATAATATAATGGTGATTCAAGTGCTAAGAACAGACAACTGTTTCAAGAATAATTAAATAATCTACTCCATTGGTAATGTGTAAGAAGACGGAGTTAAGAGGGTAAGAAAGAATCGGGGAGAGATGGGAAGTAGTTGCCGGTGTTGTAGTAGTGATAATTTCAGTAATTTATGAGATATACATTAGAAACAAGTGGTTCGAGGAGAGGATGATAATCCACGCGTGAGTACGTGCGTATCTGGATATTTACTCTTTGAAGTGCAATCGTCAGAGGGTTGCCTTGAGGAGCATGGTTATGGTGTTCTGGCTATATGCTCGTGTGTGGATGGCTCAGTGTACTTAATGTGTTGCATGCCTTTAACAGATCACCTTTTGTTTTCCTGTAGCTCGTAAGAATGATTCCGAATGCTGGAGTTTGTCCACATTAGATTTATGTTTCAGCCCTATCACCCACTTAGTTGCCCGTCTCTGTACTCGGCCTAATGGATTCATATCTCTTTTGAAGAGAAATGGCGCAAAGAATTTGTGGACTTGAAATTGTGGTCGTGTTAGGAACAACTCTAGGGTGATTGCGCTAAGTTGTCTTCGAACTTCCAGTATGTGTGCATTTTATTTACCTCAGTTCTCTAGGTGATTTCGGAGTCAAAATAAAATTAGGTCGATGAAACCTGCCTTTGCAACCTTCTCTGTGAGAAGTATATGAAGTACCGTGTCAAAGGCTTTTATGAAGTCGAGGGATATTACATGGATCGATACTTTATGGTCCCAACAGTTCGTTTACCTCACTCATGCTGTGAAGTCATCGGACGCACATGACCTACGTTTCCTAAACCTGTCTTGAACTTCATAGAGGATGTTGTTTACATTTATGTATTCTATCACACGTTAAATGGCCAGTCCTTGGATTAGCTTCGACAACATTGAAAGCGATGCGACTGGCCGGTAACAGGCTTGGTATTTTCATCTCCCCCTCTGAAGATTGAAGAGAGTGGTCTACTTCCATTCTCTTGGGAGTCTGTGAGAATCTAACGAGCGTCTGAGCAGGTCACACACCGATATGCTTGTGGCTTCTGCACACTTTTTCAGGATCGTAAGCTGGATACTGTCATATTCTAATGAATCCTGGGCACTGTGTTTTACTACATTCAGTAATAGCGGACTACCGAATTAAACGATTTACGAAGTTTGCACTGAAGATCTCTCACACCTCTAAGTGAGTGAGGTCCTTGTCGTTTGACCCTTTTATAGTACATATCCCTTGTTTGATGGGCTTTCTTCTGATCATGAATCTGAAGAGATATTTGGGGTTGGCTCGCATTTTGTTTACCAGATGGCCTGAAGACATCCACTGTTGCTTAGGAATCTGGTTTTACTTCTTTTTCCCAATCCTAAGTGAGTGCTGGGACCAGATCCTTTCAAGAAGAACTCCCACTTGCGCCATACTTTTCGCTTGACCTGTAGAAGTATTCCATGCCTATTTTAACCCAGGATGTTCGCTTTCCGACTGTATGCTTACTCTGAAGTACATTTTGTCCAGCTGCATTCTAGATTATTTCCTTCACTACCTGCCAGTGGTCATCTGCTGTTAGCCTCCGCCACGTTCGTGTCTATAGACAGTGTCGAAAATGCCCCTTCATCATTGTTTATTCTGGTCTGGTGTACATTATGTGCGAAAAAACCTCGTCCTTCCAAAGTATTTCATTCGATACCAAGCTGAGCATGTCTGTGCAGCAGCTACTTCTTCCTGTTGATACGTGGACATAGACATTTTGTGCCTGTGGTTACCCCTTGTTCTACAGACAGAAAAAACCAGACTATTAGTGAATAGGTCTTTATTTAGATCGTGGGCGGTCCAATGGAGCTCGAGGGTATCTTTACAAACAGACAAAGTACCTCAACGTTCAATATTAGATCATAGGAAATATAATGCCCATACAAAATAAGGAAGTGAACGAGTTATGATGTTCTAACATTTATTTGGATGTTTGTTGTCAACTTTTAGCCAATCAGTCTAAGTTGTTGCAGACAGTCATTCTCAACTAGAAGCTGAACATTTACCAGTAAATAATCCAGGTTTGGGGTTTTCCTTCTCTGTCCTCTCTTGTAACCCCAGCCACATGTTCACTCAGTTCTGAGCCTCTGATAGCTGTAACAAAACGCTAATGGAGCCACCCCATGACGGTCACATCCTGTCTACCGAGATCCACAGATGGGGTGTTGAAGTCTCCAGCTAATAGTATTTGTTCAACCCCCAGATATGGTGACTTCAGTATCCCACGGATTATCTCGTCTTCTGGGGTGTTATAATCTGTGGGAAAGCCATTATGTTTCTCCAAACAAGTACTCCATCTCGTTAACGTTGAATTAACACCAGTATGATTCTGTCAACTCATTTAATTCGGTACTGTGTTGTGTTATGCCTTTGAAGTGGCCACTCCAATTCCTGTTTTGTTTAGCCCATCGTCTCTGGAATTGTCATGCCCTATGAGCTTACTTCGTCCATGATGTCGGACGATAGCCATGTTCCAGTGAGGACTATGACCTTCAGGTCTAAGTGAATGAACGTGTTCCTAATTTCTACTAGTTTACCACCTAGTCCTCATACATTGTTATGGAGGCACTCGATGGTTTATCTTACCGCCTGGTGCTCATCAACAGTAGTTTTTAAGCAGATTATTGTTTAAAGCATATTGGCCAGTTCCGCGCTGACTGGATGCCGTAGGTTTTTTACCCGTGTGGTATGTTCCATTAGCGAGACGGTGATCTCTGTGTTCAGTATGATGGGTTGCTGATGAATGTCAACCGACACTAATGTCAGTTTGTTTGGAACTTTCTGATGTTGCCTTGCTGATCTAAATCGACCTTCATAACAACTTATTTGATTGAAAATATCGTTTTTCGAGCCATATCGGGCCTAATAGACCTCATATGGGTTGTCTCAGTTTCCGAAGTTCACAGCCACTCTTGTACATTGCGTTTGTAGGATTCACATGAACTAACATCCATAAGCTCACACACTCCATGAACCGTGGGTATTTCCTGGCTTCCTGTGATTATTCGAACCTTGAAGGTCTTAACATTTTTCACGTGGTTTATTTTGTTTTCCTATTGGTTATTCCCCCAAATTAAACAACATTTATTAGCGAAAAATACTTCATTTCTGATATGGTTTATATTAATTTAATACCTCATCTTGGGACTCAACGTCATACACTAAGTCCGCTAGTTTCCATGCTGTACACCTCTTTCCGTTTATTAACGTTCATATATTAACTCTGAACATCTACTGCATTTGATCCGACCGTATATTTATATCTAATAAGTTAACTCATAACAGTGGCTATCCACATGATGTAAACCTTATATTTACATGACTTCAAATTATGTCCAGGACATCTAAAAAACATATAATCTCTTCTGATGTCTAAGGCACTTGCAAAAGATCTAAATCCGTCACTAAAGCGAATAATGTGATGTTTCATAGACACACTGCATCCTACTCTGATCTTCCTACAGCTATACTAGACTTGCACCGCGTACTTGGGTATGACATGTCACTAACTTGCATCTCGCCTTTAGATATAAAGAAGATCCGTCATGAACTCTCTGGAGGCCTGCTTGAATATCTGGGCTACCCGTTTCCGCCATCTAATTATTTCAACTAGTCATCTGTTTTTTCATCTGTTTTAACTTATAATTATGTCCATTAATCGCACAACCTATTTAGGCGCTTTTATGAAAAGCCTGCGACCTTTCGCTGCACAGGTTACAAAAAATTACTTTAAAAGACATCGTGGTGGTTGGCAATACGCGTTAAAGAGAATGAACATTAATCGTATGTCGATTCCCGAGCTGCTAAATTCTAACTGCCGATCACCAATCAACAAAGTGGACTATCTGCAATTCCTACTAAGTCAAAATACGTATCGTAATTGTGATGTCATCACAATTCAAGAATCTTGGTTAAATGATTTACAGGATGACTGCCTAATATCACTACGTGATTTCAAAATTTATCATCAGGACCGATCAAACAATAAAAAGAGGTATAGTGGTGGTGTAGCTACGTTTGTAAACATAAACTGGTGTCGATCTTCGTTTGTGTGTTTTAAGTTTTCAAATGACTTTATCGACTGTCTAACTCTAAGATGTCGTCCAAAACATCTGAATAAGTAAAAATATGTTTACGTTACCAATATCTACGTGACTCCAGATTGCACGTCATCTGCACTATCTGTTTTCGCTGATGAATTCACTGAGTTCGCTGTTACTGCCTTCAGTGATTCACTTCCAGTCGTATGTGGTGATTTCAATTCATGTAATAATAATAATAATTTATTCTCAAATAACAGTTTGTTACATGAGGCATGCCAGTTTACAGGCAAGATCAAATTGATACAAATGATACAATATACACTGTATTAAATTACATAGCTGGGTTGAAAATTTATAAGACATGAATGTAGATTGTTTTAATCAGTACTACAGTTGGCGCGCTTCACGAGAGTTGCGTTGCGAATGTGCGACTGATGGTCGGGAATAGTTCCATTGAAGGTATGAGCTTCTAAAAATCGCAACCTTATGTCCCTTCGGGATATCCAAAGCTTTAAGGATGGTGCGGGATGAAGTAACCTTTTCCATATCTCAAGGGGGCTGAAAGAGGGAGCAAGTAAAAGAAAGGACGAGAGGCAGAGTAGCCAACATTCATGTAGGAATGTTTAAGGTATGATTACT